GGATGAAATTGTTTAGGGATGAACGAGTTTAAGAGTTTTAAGAGTTTAAGAGTTTTTAAGAGTTTTAGCCAAATGTTTTATAATATAGTATAGATAAGTTGTTTTAAATAAGTAATCTCAAGCATCCACTAAAAAAAGCTCTTCAAGATAATTTTTTCAAAATTTTGATTCTGCAATTTAAAAAATCTTTTGAAAAGTATAAAATTTTAAAATAAAATATAAAAATTAGAATATCTAAAAAGATTACATCAAATTTTAACAACCACTTTATATCAAAATTAATTATACTATTAATATATTTATATATTTAATAAAATATTATTTTTCTTTTTTAAGCATTTATTTTCTACATTTAATTTTCGTAACAGATGATTGCAAAGATCAGATCTGGAGCCACGTGGATCTTATTTAACGGGGCCTCTATTTTAACGGCCCAAATCCATCCAACATAGGGTTTCGCATTTGACTATACAAAATCACACGCAGCATATGATACCATAATAATTTGGTAGATTTGGAGTAACCCTCAACTTCACATCACTTTAAAGACAACCCTTCTATTTAAGTTATTTGTTCAAATTAAACCCTTCAACATTAGTTTTGAGGGTTTGCTTGCATTTTCAGGACATTTGGTTCAAGTTGTGGTATTAATTTGATAACCTTGATAGATCATTGTGTATATACAAACATATGTTGTGATATGTTTTTCGAAATAATTAGTGTTCTTATTGATAAAACATTTTCAAGAAAATGCGCCAAACCAGCTACGAGCTGATAACTTTAATATGGTTTGCTTATAACTTAGATAATTTGTGTTCTAATATCTTCTCATAAGTCATATGATCTTTAAATATCAGGCATGACGTCATATACTGAGCTAAAAGTTAAAATGGTTGTCTTTTATGTCTCATAGTAGTATCTTATTTGCATCATAGGTATAGAATCCCACCGAAGCTTTTCCATTTAGACCTCTAGACTTTAGGCTTCAATTCATAATGAATATGTTGAAATCCATTTTATCTTATCCTTTGTGCCCATATAAATATTGGTGATATGTCACAATTCATCTTTCCATTTTTATCTAGGGGTCGTTTTTCAAATGTTAACCGGGTAAGTACTTGCTGGGTGAGCATGACAAATACCGAAAATCTTACGAAGTAAGATGCATGACAAGGATGAAGAATCTTACATGGTAAGTGATGATGACTATTAGCTAATTAACATTTACCAAGTAAAAGACATACACCTACAATCTTACTATGTCATTTTGCTAGTCAATAATCTTACCTAGTAAGGTAAGTGGGAGGTGATTACTTTTACCTAATAAACACTTAGTTTAGTGTCGGTAAATGGTCATTTAGTTATCGACTTGACTTGTGATTCAAGACCACATTTGTTTAGAACCCAATATTATATATACATACTTGGGGTCGTGTTCTTGGGTTGTGTTCGGTAAGAATGAAAATTATGATAAAAAGGGTAAGAAAAGATCTCTGTATTTGGATCAATACTAATTGAAGATCAACACTAATGATATACATCAAGATGCACATAATCAATTATCGTATCAAAGGCAATTTCATGGGATGGATGTGAGATTAAAAGTGATCAACAGTCCAAATCCCTTCTTACCTTTCTGGATGAATGAGCTATAATTTTCACATGTCACATGTTAAAACAACATGACAATACTCTATACTTCATTATTCAATTTTTAGTTATATGTTTAAAAGAACTTCAGGTATCAATTATGGCAAGTCCAAACCCAATGGACTGATTTTGCAAATTGATGCAAACCTCAGGGTTCCATTTTTGTCATCCCCCCTTGCTTCCTACTTACATTGGTAACCTCAAATATCCAATCACATTCAAACCCTCGGTCTCTTTGCACGCTGCTCTGCTCTCACTCTCAAAAAGCGAAGAGATTTCTTCGTTTTTGTTTCTAGTTTCTGAGTAGTTCTTCGATCAAAGGAGAATGAGTTCTCAGATCTTTAGATCTGTTTCACGAGCTACTAGGTCTATCATTTCTTCTGCTTCTAAGCAGAAGTCCAGTCTCTTATCCGGTATAATTATCTGACATTCTTGTTGTTCAATTTCAATTACTTCATTAGCATTTGTCTATGTTTTGATGTGATTATGATTGAGTTGATGGTTATGAGTAGGTTCTTAAGTTGTAAATTGTATATTGCAAAATGTTTAACTGATAGATGAAATTTGGCGTTGATTTTGTTGCATAGACAGTAGATGATCGCATACTCAAATTAACTTCGATGACTGAATATTTGGAGCTTGATACTGTTTTCGTTTATATTAATTGTTTTATTTTAGCTATTTTTAGTAGAATGTTCTATTTTTAGTTATTATCGTAGAATGCTTTATGCACTGCAATAATCTTTTAGTGGAATTTTCCATGATTCTTTGTGTTCATATAAACATGTTTTCTATGGTTATTATTTTTCAATGAAAAAGATGTAGTATTATTATGTAGCTGTTTCCTGAGTATGGGAGATTGCTGAGTGGGATAATTAGATTGATGCGGTGGGAAAGAAAAGAAATTTGTTTCTAGTTTGAATTATTCTTGTATATATGTGTTTTTTTCTTGATCTTTTTGGGGTATAACATCTAGTTTAGATCTGATGCTGGAGGGGAAGTATGGGATGAATGTGGGAACATGTTATACTACAGATATGCACATGTCATATAATCTGAAGGTCTACGTCAGCAGCAAGCATTGCAACTTGTAGAATACGTTGTTGTCAAATTGTGGGTATTATGTAAAGTTTACTTATTGTTCTTTTTCCATTTGTAGAAGGACGATCTGCTTCTGCTGCTGCAGCAATTTCCTACAAAGGAGTGTTGCCAGCTCTAGCTTCTTTTGGGCGGGATAGTTCTGGAAACACCTCCAGCACATGGATCGCTGGAGCATTTATGCTCCCTGCTGCAGGTTTATATATTTACAATCTAGTATTATCTGACCTAATAACCCATTGTGGATTTTATGCATTTGCTCTTTCTGTTAATTACTAATAAGATCTGTGTAGTTTTATTTTGTAAGCGTGTGTAGTTGTTTTGAATTTACTTCCTTCATAATAAGGTTGATATGGTGCCTTACATTGGTAGGTGCTCATGAACTAAAATAAGAAACATTTTTTTGGGAGTCAGATGTAAAAGGGAAGAAACCTTAGCCCTCAAGATTCAGCATTGTGGCTTAACCTTCCATTACAAGCATACCATGTCTAAAGAATAGTTATGGGAAGGAAATTTTGTTAAGTTGACACTTGACATTTGACCCTTTCCTTTATTTCCCCCACATTTCTTTTTGATATATATTAACTGTTGTTTTGACAGCATGAGCATGGGTATTGCTTTCATTACAGTGCATATCAATCATTCTAGTGTATTGAATATTTCTTTGTACTTTCAACTCATAACTACTCCCAATTTCTTAATTCCACCCTGCCTTGTTCTCCATGAAATGGAATTGTGCTACCATCGAACTGTATGAGATTTGGACATGTGGGGGTTATATCTTTTACTTGAATAGTGCAATTTTAGAACATGGTTCATATTTTATAGATGGTTGAATTGCTTTGACGTTGTCTATTCATTTGAAATACTTTGGCATGCTGGTAATATGCGTTAATTATGATATTACATCTTATTAGTTTCCTTGGATGTTACTTTATAAATTAAACTTGCCTCTGAATTAACAACTTTATAGAAAAGATGTCTACAAGTTGCACAATGATTCAACTGACACTTTTTTTGCATTTCTTATTAGCTTACATGGTTCAGGACCAAGAGGCACATGCAGCAGAGGTATTACAGCTCGGTTTCATTTTCATGATTGGTGGTGTGATAGTCTTTCTTGCCATTTTTTTTTCAATTTATATGTGAAGGAAGATTGATCCCTTCTCTTGCCTGTGCAGATGGAGCGCACATTCATCGCCATCAAGCCTGATGGTGTGCAAAGGGGACTGGTAATTTAACCACCATTCTTTCATACATTTACTGGAAACAACCCATAAACCTGTTGGTTAACTGATTTCAGATACCCTTTTCTTATGTATAACATGCCATGCATGTGATATAGTTGCTATCCACTTGATTACAAGAACTAATAAGAACGAAGTACTCCTTTTGTGTCTTTTCTTTTTTAGAACACCTTCCTCTTTTGTGTTGTTGTACAGCTTTAACATCTTGAATTCTTCACTTTTCTTGTTAATATAAGTTTCTCATTTTTCCAGATTTCAGAGATTATTTCTCGCTTTGAACGTAAAGGATTCAAGCTTGTAGCCATTAAACTTGTGATCCCTTCAAAGTCCTTCGCCCAGCAGCATTACCATGATCTCAAGGAAAGACCATTTTTCAATGGACTGTGCGACTTCCTTAGCTCTGGCCCTGTTCTTGCCATGGTAAGAAGAATCAGACTATTGATCCCTTTTTTTCTATACTTGTGAATCAGTGAACCAATACCTTATCACTCAATCATGCAGGTTTGGGAAGGAGAGGGTGTGATCAAATACGGCCGTAAACTTATTGGAGCCACAGATCCACAGAAATCAGAGCCTGGAACCATCAGGGGTGATTTGGCTGTTGGTGTTGGAAGGTACCACTCACAAGAACTCTCATCTATACGTCCATTTTGGTTTCCAATAGCCTTAAAATGCATGCTTCCATACGGTACTTGCTAGCATATATGATCACTCTCACATACACACACACAATAGTTGTAGGAAATGAAAAATCAAACACAGTAGTTATGCGGTTCAGCTAATTGCTGACATTTAAGGTTGTTGCTAAGTTTCTTATTTATTTCAAGAATTTTCGGTAGTATACACAMATCAAAGAAAAATCAACCCCATTGACTCATTTATAATTGTTTCTTACAAAATTTGTCCCACAAAATCATAGGTTGACTTACTTTTCAACCATGCTCCACATCCCATGGTACCTACCCATAATTCCTTCTCAGCTTGCAAACTTTGGCTATACTTGGCAAACTTGCCTATAAGCTAGCTGATATACTAGCAATAAGCTAGATGATAATATAAGTTAACCTAAAAGGACATGTTGAAAATTAATTAGAAAAATATAAGGGGCGTAACTGGAAAAAAAAATTATTGGAGATTATAAGCTAGCTTTCGGCTAACATAGCGCATTATTTATGCTCAAAAAATTAGGTAACCTATGGTTGTGAAACATGCCTTTAATGTTATATTGTTTACGCCATATATCTTCATCCTCAGTTTCTGTTTCCCATCTTAACCTTTCCAATCAATGGGACCCATACCCACATCTCCATTTTCCCTATCATCATCATAAGAGAGAATGAAATGTTGAAATGATTAATGGCTTAAACTGTCTTTTTACAAACCCCTACAACTATTGATGACCATATTCTCTTGAGACATTTTCAGTGATTCATTGATGACCATATTCTGTGAGAACGTTTTCAGATGACCATTGGGTTGTGCTTTGTAGGAATATCATCCATGGAAGTGATGGTCCAGAAACGGCGAAGGATGAAATCAGCCTATGGTTTAAACCAGAAGAGTTAACAAGTTACATCAGCAACCAAGAAAAGTGGGTCTATGGAGTCAACTAAAGACATCCATTTTCTCTTAGGTCATTTAGTTTCTAGGCTGCGGGAATAATGACCAAAGAATAATAATCTTCTTTTTTCTGCTATAAAAAATGAGCGGAACAGTGTCAGTTTTGTTGACTTACGAACCTTATTTTTAGTTGTTAAAGACTAATAAGTATTTGGTCGATGCTTGGCTGGAATCTATTCTCACCTCGTTTTATCTTGTGCTTTAAATTTCATTCTCTGCTTTTCATTTCTATGATTCAATATGGACAAAAGGAATGACGCTAAGATAAAAAACCTTGGCTCTTTACCAAACATTTACCCGGTAAGTGCTTACCGGTAAAATCTAATACTATTATTTATTTACTGGGTAGGATTTTAGTCCACCAAAACGACATCGTATGCGACAATTTACCCGGTAAGCGCTTACCATGGTAAGAGTCGTCGCCCTCACTTACCGGGTAAGACTCTTGGTCCTTATCTCGCTCTTACCGGGTAAGATTCTTGGTCCTTACCATATTCATCCGGTGAGGTAGCGTGACTTGATAAGCACATACCCGGATAAGCGTTTGGTAAATGGCAAACGTTTACTAAACGCTAAGAAATTAACGGGCCGTTTACTAAACGCTTACCTGGTAAGTGCTTACCAAATTGCATTAACCATACTGGATGAATACGACAAGAACCAAAAACCTTACGGTCCGGTAAGAGCGAAGGTAAGGATCAATAATCTTATCCGGTAGGTGAGAGTGACGGCTCTTAACAGTAAATTGTTGCATACTATACCGTTTTGGTGGACTAAAATTTTACCCGATAAATAAGTGATAATGTTAAATTTTGCGGATAAGCATTTGATAAATAACTCCTCAGTGTTGTTGCAAGGGAAGGAATAGTGGAATATGCGGGTTGCAAACTTGTGAGCAAACATGCAAATCCATAAGGGTGTGTTTGGAAAGTTTTTATTTGACATAAATATTTTAGTAATTACCAATTTTGTCCAATCTTCCTATTTAGGAAAGAAAAAAAAATGCATTTTTGTCCTATTTAGGTCCCGTCGTGTCTTAGTCTCATGTTGCATCATATGTAGTAGAACAAGTTTTTGTCTTGTCTTGACTTGGGAACCAAACGCACCCCTAGTAGAACTTGGAGTAGCATAAAAATGATATTAAATTTAAATATTTTTGTAACATCTCAAATTCAATTTAAAGGCTAATTACGATCAATCACAAAAGAAAGAATTAGCAGTTAAATCGTGACAACTTAAAACCCAAAAAATCAAATACGAAAATGAATAAAGAGTAGTTGTATCATCATCATTCTAATCAAATGATGGTAGATGAATTCTCAATATATTTGGATTTTGATGCCATTTTCATATGTTTCATTCATACAGCAATCGATGGTTTTTTTTCCTACTAATAATACCAGATCCTTCTCAACCAGTCAAGTGCACATTAGATAAGAGGATCCATTTTAATTTTAATTTTAATTTAGAAGTTGGTTGATAGTTGTTGAATGGTTTAATACAGAACTAAATAGTCAAAATGATTAAGAAACTCTTATGATATAATATAAATTGAAATATATTTGGTTGGTAATTGTTAAAAGTAAAATTAGGATGTTGAATGATTAAGGCAGATCCAAGATACAAAACCGTTTCGAGGGTTTTAGAACCATTAAGAGTCAGATTCTTTTTTATCAAACAAGATTCATTTCTTAACGATCCAAAGGCTTCATTTTAATGAAACTATTAAGAAGTAAACAAATAATTTTTTATACGTATCTATAAATTATAACTGTTGTAATTAATGTTTCGTTAATAAATGAATAACATCAAGGGGGTGTAGCTCATATGGTAGAGCGCTCGCTTCGCATGCGAGAGGCACGGGGTTCGATTCCCCGCACCTCCATCTCTAATCCATTTTCCAAATTTTTTATCATCACCGTCGATCAAAAAAAAGGACGGCCATTATCCTCTGAGAGGATATTTCTATTCGGACCCACCCGCACTAGATTATACCCTCTCCCTCCATTCTTATTGTTTTCCAGCCTTTCATTCCTCATCTTCCCCGCCTCACTACACACACTGACTTCACCTTGATAACACACATACAGAGGTCGCATGACGCTCAACTTAACTTCTCCATGGCCGAATCGTCTCTATCTTCACCATCATCGCTTCCTATCGACTTCCAACGAAGCCACACAAAGTTTGTCAAAATCCCAGGTTTTTTGCAATCTTCGTAACTACAAGAACATCAAGGCTTCATTGAGTGAGAGCTATCATGAAGGTGCTGTAGCGGCTGGTGATGATGATGCTGGTAATGGTGATTTTGAGTTGATTATTAATAGAGTTTCGGCTGCAAAAGATGCGAGTGAAGCACTTGAGGTGTTTGGTGAAATGACCAAGAGAAGCGGTGGTGTCGTCAGTACTTCTGATTGTTCTTTGATCATTTCGGCTGCGCTTGATCGGAACAATGCGGATTTGGCACTGTCGATTTTTAAAGCCATGAGGTCGAGTTTCAATGCAGGTATTTACGAACTACTGTCTTCATTAAATTATAGACTTGCTTGTAGAGTCCTAAATTCAATGTTTAGCAATTTTAATGATTTTTTGGGACTTCTAATGTAAGCTAACCTCCCCAGATATTGTTAGTTTTGTCCATAATGGACTCATGGTTTTAGGGCCACCTTTGTACTTCGTGGCACACCAGTCTTTGTACTTCGTGGCACACCAGTCTGGTTCCGATACCATTTGTAACAGCCCAAAGCAACAAAATGACCCAATAACTTCGAATCCAACTTAAAACATGTGGAGGATACCATAATCTTCCTCCTTGTAATGGGTAATGTGGGATTCACCTAAGATGTTACAATCACCCCCTTGAGAGACTCATCATACCCAATGAGGTTTCCCCCACCATCTCGATGGTAAAAGGATCGTCTCTGATACCATTTGTAACATCTAGTACCGATATTGTCCGGTCTGTCCACATCTGGACTCACGGTTTTAAAATGCGTTTGATGGAGGCAGTCCCTGGCAATCTTTGTTTCCCTCCCCAACCAACGTGGGATCTTACGTCTCATGTTATGTTACCTTTCTAATATCTAGAGAAGTTGATGGTTAAGAACTAAATACCTTCGAAATTGTATAATTAGATATTTGGCTCCAGTAGGCACAGCCATAACCTCTGGGAACTGCTATTTCAATAGCAGCTATTACCAACTTGACTATCAAGACTTGTGAACTCATAGAATTCAATTGTGTAGGTTTGTGGCAACAATTTGTTTGATTTTATGATATACAACTATAGAATAGTCGTTAGGAACTACATACTTGCAAAATTCTACAATTCGCTAGTGAACAAATTTAATTGAATTTATGACATATGGCTATAGCTTTGGTAAACTATTCGATCTTGGTACATATGTTTGTAGTTTCTAAAATCATCTATAAAGTATTGCCAGCCACTCAAACTATATAAGTACACTTTAAAGTATTGAAAATCATCTATGGTATTTCTTACAAGTTTTCATTTAATACAGTTGTGGTTTATGGTAATGCATTAATATTTGATGCAAAAGAGTAGGTGTGGGAGATAAAGATGTTGGTGACAGATGGAGGTGGTCCAGACCTGATGTAAATACATACACACTGTTAGTTCGGGGTCTTGCAGCATCATTGAGGGTTTCAGATGCCCTTAGGATCATTGCTAATGTTTGCCGAGTTGGAGTATCTCCTGGTGAAGAGGTAAAACTGTCATTACTGTTTTGGCTTAATTCTTGGCAAGCATTATACTGAATATTCCATGGAAGTTGGTGTCTGTAATTTGTCACATTTGTCTGCAGTTCTTTGTTTCTTTCTAGTGTCACCTGTTAATCAATTTCTCGACCCTCTATTTTATAAGTCTTTATGTTGATCTGCAGTTTGCCTTTGTTCATGCAGGTTCCTTTTGGTAAGATTGTAAGATGTCCTAGTTGTATGATAGCTGCTGCTGTTGCACAACCCCAAAATGGTATTCAGGCATGCACAAATATGCCTCAAGAGATTTATTTACTTCTCCCTTTCTAACGTTATAGGAATACAAAAGAGGCCCAGGGAAATCGGGAAATGTCATTGAGGTTTTCAGGAATTTACTTGTGTCCTTCCCTATTTCCATGAGCATTTAGCAACCCATTTAAAAGCCATAACAACTCATAATACATTACGGAAAGGAAACTAATTCTCAATTTATGGATGCATATCCTCTTGGCTTGTGTCATCTTTTCCGTGAGAGAAACTTATTTGAACATCAAATGCTTTGTTTAGTCACACTCAGCTTTCTTAAGGCGTCTACCTAGCCAACATTTGGCAAAGTTGTATGATAGGGTGTTCTATGTAATCCTGTCTCTTGGTTGGGTCTGTAGGCTTGATTGGTAAAACAATAGTATGTTCTTTATGTTTTTATGCTTCCTTATCAGATAGAAACTGTCATTTTGCAGATTGTTTCTTGCTCCAAATGCCGTTACCAATATGAGCTTGTTTCTGGCAACATAATTAGTATCGAGTCAGAAGAAATCAGGTTGGTTGTTTGTAATCCTTCTTCCCCTTTGTACTCTTAATTGCCATTATCGTATGCATACAATTAGCACAGCTATGTGCTATTGCCTACATGGTGCTTTTGGTTGTTTCTTATATTAGGAATGGACTTCTGTTCTATCCATTAGTTTTTACTTGATAATCTCTGGAGTTTTTTTCAATGTTGGTTAAGGATGTAAATCCTGTTTCCTTGTGGTGCTTATATGAATTGAAAAAAAGGTAGTTTTATGTATTTTTTTGCCACTTCTGCTCAGTGTGCTTAAGTGAAGAGTACCATAGTTTATGATGTTGATAATGTGATATTCACTTTTTCTAAGGATGTCCTCCTGCCGAACGCAGCATGGATGTGCCTGCATGGAAAAAGGGGCTACAGTTATTGCAGCTAGTGAAAGAAAGTACTCCTGCTGCTGTTCACTCCATTGTGGTAAGTTCTCTCCGGTCCTTTCTCCTCAACAATTCAATTGGTGTCCGAAATTCCTCACTGATTATAAGAGTTTATGTTTCTCATCAGCATTAATAGATTTTAGTGTAACCGGTTGCATCATTCCTTAATAGAAAATGAAAATGGCTTAGGTGCTGTTTGGTTTGTTTTTCATTGTCTTGTATGGATAAAGCTGTTTGTATGGATTAATATATCTTGTATAGATTGAGAATGTTTTTGTTTGGGAGAGTTTTTTCATAGATAGAAGGAGCATGTTTTTTAATTGGGAATAACAGGTCTGTAAAAATCTTGGCTTTCTGTATAAAGCTCCCCCTAGAAGCTTAATGAATAAGCCGTTTTCTATATCATCAAGCCACTACCAAACAGTCATATATAGCTGACTGAATAAGCTGAGTCCCATTAAGCTGGCTGCTAACAAACATGCCCTAAGCCTCCTCCCCCTCCCTTTGGGAGAAAAGAACAGAAGGGAAAATTGCACAAAATGCCCCTTCTTTACACAAGGGGGCGAACTTGTTGAAAACAACTCGGTTGTGGGGTTTTTTTAAGAAAAGCGGTAGATTTTATTCACTTTCTATCCAGCCATCCCCTACACGTGTTTGTCTTTCACAAATCAGTCCCCTCTTGTGTAAACCCAGGATATATTTTCCCTTCTTTTCTGGCTTTTTATTGGGGGCGCCCGGCGGGTGAAGCCATCTGCAGCATTACTTGCATGGTCAAATGTTTTCGATTCATGGTGCAAATAGCCATTGAACATGCTCTTAGTACTATACCTTAAGACAAAATTCGTTGATACATATGTATTTATGCAGCTTTTGGCAAACTTGCTTCCATGTGATTTCTAGTTGATTTATAGTCTAGTTCTTGATTGTTCTCAAAATCTGTCCTGCATCATCTCTCAGGTCCAGACACCATCTGGTATGGCTCGAACCCACAGATTTGCTACTAAAACAGTTGATCTCCCTGCACAAGAAGGGGAACGGGTGACAATTGCTGTAGCTGCTCCATCGAGTGTCTATCGGGAAGTGGGTCCCTTGAAATTTAGCCCCAAAACCCCCAACTATTACCCTGGAGAGCCCATGTGCCTAACAAACCATCAAGATGGCAGAGAATCACCATTACTGAGAGCCCCTACAAAAAATGGAGGACTGTCCTTATTTAGCCCAGCTGTCTTTTTTCCGCTTCTCACTGTCTTAGCCACAGGAGATATGGCCTCAGGAATAATAGATCCCAGCTTACCTCAATTTATTACGGTTGCAGCTGTTTCATCTTTAGCTGTCGGAGCCACTTTAAACGGTCTGGTATTTCCACAGTTCAATCGAGTAAGTTGGCTTGTTCATGTTACTAAAAACATTCTCAACTTTACATCATCTAGTACTCAAGTTACTGCTGATTTAAAATCAATGAGATTCTTGATTTGCAGTAAAAAAGCAATCCACTCATTCGCCATGTGATGTTTACTCCATTTACAAGCGTTGCCCATAAGTTTGTTAAATGTTTTCTCTCTCTTTTTCACCAGCTTCCTCAAAGACTTGTGGAAACAGTTGCCATAAGGCAGCAACTACTGTCTCAGTATGATACACTTCAATCTCGCATTAAGGATTTAAAAGACGCTGCTGACAATGAGGTACTTTTTTAAATTATTTGCCAGTTGTGCTGTTATTTGCTTAACAACTTTATTAGAAATATTCGAGTGCCTTACTTGGATAACTATGTGTTGTCTGAATGATCACATGCCTGACATGCAATTAAGGGGGTGTCTGGTTAAAGGTATTAAGCAGTAATTAATGAAAATAAAAGAAACTGTTTGGTTTTATATAATGAGTCTATTTCCCCTAGAAGCCCCAAGATTTCATTCCAGGTAAAACAGGGGGGGAATGCATTCTCATTCCCTTGCCTAAACCAAACACCCCATAAGTTGATTTTTTTATGTATTATCAAGAGCTGCACCTTCACCAAGAGCCTTTGTTATTTCTTGCTCTCCCTGTGCACAATGTGATTCATTTTTTATTTAGTTTGTCCCAAAAAAATTCACCTTTGCCCAAAGTGAATTATTACCCCGCAGTCCAGTATCACTTCATTGTTCTTAGATTATAAAATAGTTAGAATACATGCTTCAGCTGTCCAACTACTATTTTTACTACTTTAGCAGCTTATTCCAAGGCCCCTGCCACAATATATAGCAAATGCAAATAACCAAAGATCAATGGAAAACTTTGGGGACGTACAAATTACAAAAGATGTGATACTTTTATGCAATCCCGTCTCTAATGGTGACATTTAATTTCGATGAATTGGAGTACACATCAACAAGATAAGAAAATATTAACATGGATTGCAGTCATCCAAGGGGGCGATCTTTCATACTTGTCTGAAATAAGTTAACATCTTTCTGTGCTATATTATTGATGCCTTCTCTAGTGACATTATTTTATAGTTGGAGTAGTCATTACTCTTCAACAACCTGACCTTGGGATTTCTGTATTGTACTTCAAATAACAATAAAGAATGTTGCGAATTTAATTTTTAATACCTATGTGGATCCTATAAGGGTGCATTTGGTATCCAAACAGGACAGGACATAACAGGATAGTACTGCATTCAGCGTTTGGTAAGACAACTGGACAAGACAGAACAAATAAAATAACCAATTTATCCCTAATGAATTGTTTATATGTTTTGATTAATTTATGTAATTTATCAAGTTATAATAAAATAAATATTTTTATAACAAAATATATCATTAGAAAGTTTTCGTCAAGACAATAAAATGACACCAAAATAAATAATTGTTCTAATGAAAACTTTCTATATTATACCTTTGTTATATTTTTTTGAATTATTAATATTTAATAACTTACATAAATTAATCAAAATATAAAAACCATATATAAATAATATGTTGAGGATTGTAAAGTGAAGGTTTAATGAACATAAAATACAATAAATAAAATTTAAAGAATGAATAAAATGTAAGTGAGAGGTGTATTTGATGTTTTAGAAGATAATTAAGTTTTATGTTGAGGTTATAAAATATAGGCATGTTCCACCTTCTTCCATGGGGTGGGGGTGGAACACGCATGCTCCACTCTATTCCACATAAAAGTGCTGCCAACTGTGGAAATCCCTGTTCTTTTATGTTTTATTCCATCCTCTTTAGTGTACCAAGTGCACCCTAAAGGTTAATACTGTTGGATTTTTTTTTATAGATTATGTGCATATATTTTTCTTATTAGGTTTACCACATAGTTCATGCTTCAGCAGAGAATAAGACAATAAGTATCTTGTTTTTCCAATATATTAGGTATGGATGCTGGCTCGTATGTGCCAACTGGAGAACAAAATTGTCGCTGTTGGAGAACCTTCTTACCGGTAATCTCCTCAAACTATATCTGTTACTCTTTTCTTTCTTTCTAGTGTAATTACTTGATGTTCTTGTACAAAAAAACAGTTCATGGAATGTGTTTTTCCTTTTTTTGAAGTGCACGGAGAAGTAGAGTCAAAAGGGTGCGTGAAGGCTTGGAAAGTTCCTTGAAATCACGAATCGAACTGATTGAAAGCTATGCAAGAGTAAGTCTTGTACACCACAAAATCCCAGAGAAAAGAAAAGCTTCATTAAGATAATCAAGTCATCGTATCACTAATTTATGCATAATTTTGCTTTTGTTACAGATTTCTTCAATGATCGAAATAGAAGTAGAAATGGACTCTGATGTCCTAGCTGCTGAAGCAGCCAGCAATGTGGTGTGTTAACAATTTTTCACTTCTCTCTTACCTTGATATGGTTCCCATTTCAAAACTCATACTCCCTCCATCTGGAAAAAGTCAACATTTGACTTTTGAGCTCCGATGAGTTGCTTTTTATTTCTGAAACTCCGCTAGAATTAGTTTGGTTGTTGAATAAAAAATTGATTGCTACATTAAACCATAGTATTTATAGGTACTAAAACAAGTAGTAGCTTTCTTGATATCTCTGTAACAATATAAACTCTAAACCGTTGTAAATCACAATAAAGATGATAAAAAGTAGAAATGAATAGCGAATTATTTGACGACAATTCCTTTGCTCATTGCAATATATTTATTTTCTTTTAAATTTCTTGTACAGGAGACTATTGCTGAACAAATAGAACAGATAATGGAGCTTGAAAATCTTGAAGAGGTAAGCTCTCATCAATTGGAAGCAGTTTTCTTGCGATGCCAAATTCATGAAAACTTGAATACGACAAATATTTATTCTCGGCTCATGGTGTTAGCTTTCTTGTTTACCTTATACTCAACCGCTCTACTCTTTAGGTTAGAAGTGAGGTGTGCCTACATCTTAAGAGCATCTCCAGCGAATTCGCTATAATTTTTCTAGAATAGAGAACCAGATTACATTTAACTCCAAGAGATTATTTATTTTAGGAATTTCAACATCCATTATATAAAATAATAAATATTCAATCTCATTAGTGGGTATGGATAAAAAATTAATCTTTCTCTCCACACATGAAGTTTTAAATAATTCTCTGAACTTGGAGTTTTCTCTATTTTAGAGAGCAATATAGAGAATCTTTTGGAGCAAAATAGATGACAAAAACCTCATTTTCTGTATTTTAGAGAATCTGTTGGAGATGCTCTAACCTCACCAGACCTCACCTCCAAGTGGGATTTTTTTTTTCATGCTATTTTTACTTCGTATATGTGGTTATGAATCCTAACGGAAATCGGTGTTATATATATATATATATACAGAAATGGAGAATTCAAGCGGAGGCAAATGATGAGGTGGAGAAACTTCTGAGTTCAGAGACCGTCGTACCTTCACAACAGGTTCCAGATATATAGCCATTGATTAGTCGAACAATCAGCTTTCTTACACAATCCTCATATATACTCTTTTGATAATTTATCTCTCCACAAAGTTAGGAACCATCATAACCACCCCAGTTCCTACTTTCAATTAGATCAAGAGGATTATTGAAAAAGAGAATTTGGTGCCTGCTTGATCACATGTAAAAGATTCAAAAATCAGATTTGTAAATTTAAAAACATGAAATTTTAAGTTAAATTTATTGTTGAGAACCAAAAAAACACATTTTGTCAAGTCTTTCTTTTACCATAAAGTAAAAAAGAAGCTTATCATTTAAGAAGCCACAAAACTGTCAGAACTCAGAACAGGGAGCATCACGTATTATTTCACATGATTTTTTTCTATATACAGTTTGATTTAAGATATTGATTAACGTATATATGTTTCACAATGTGAATATTATTCACCCGTGTGAAACAAAAAGTTTCACTTTGTGAACCAAATACATATGAAACAAATATACGTTAATCAATATCTTAAATTCTAGCCTTAGATGGAAAAAATAACGTGAAACAATACCTTAGAATATAAAGTTGTTACAATTATTATAATATATACAGTTGTCACTTAATTATTCCCCAGTAATCCCTGTATAAGCTATACTAGTAATTGTATAATATATTTTTTCTTTTGTGTAATCATTAGTAGTCCTATTTTTCAACCAAGGAAGTGATATGTTTTATTTAAGGGCTTATTTGGGACTAAAATATTAAATTTGGTCCAATACAGGTGGTAAAAGTGTTTATCTAATAAGTGTTTATTGGGTAATTTTTCTTACCGGATGAACATGACAATGGTTAAAAATCTTACCCAGTAAGAGCAATGATAAAGATGGAGAGTCTTACTCGGTAAGTGAGAGTGACGACTCTTATCTGGATAAATTATTGCATACGATACCATTTTGATGTACTACAATCTTATCCGGTAAAATAAATTATAGTGTTAAACTTCTAACGATAAATACCTACCGGATAAGCATTTAAGTAAATGAACCCTTCTTGATCTGAAAGCTCAACATAAATTGGCATTACCAATTTTTTTTTTTTTTGTTAAAGTTTCAATTTTTGTTATCTAGCTGGCATTATGATGGAATACATTGTGATATTAGATGGCACAATGAGCAAACCCATGTGTTCTCAAACACTAAAACTACACTTTAAGTCCTTACACTTTCACTTTTTCTTTAACAGTGAGAATCTAGAATCAGAAATGACTTCGAGTCATTGCAGGTGAACTTTTATGGTCAGAAGGGTTTTAGCAGCGTTCGGATTTAAACCCGAAAAAATTATTGTTCAGTTTCAATTCTCACAAAGAAAAACTTTTTCTCTGTTTTCAATCTTTAGAAACCCTTTTAAATATGAAGTCCTAAAGTTTAAGGATTCATGCAATGTAAGCATTTTATTCAACATCATAAATGTCATGTTTGAAGTTGGTTATGTGTTTTGCATAATTTGGGTGTTAAATCATTCATTTCATTTATTATAGTTTTTAAGTATTGGAGACTATTGAACCAAATATGTCTTAGAAACATCAACTATGTATGTTGAATAAATAAGTGTCAAATGTATTATAGGTTGTTTACTTATATTTTAATGAGCTTAATGGCCCAAAGACTTATGTGTTCATGCGTACAAAAGTGTTTCTTTACAGCTTGACTGCTAAGTCATTAAGCCAAATGGCTACATGGAATAAGTCAAGACCTTCCACTTGTTCCCATTAAGCCATCCCAAACAAAATACTAGAAATTCGCTAAAAATAATCCATCCTTATCTCTTTCTCCCTTAAACCCATTGGTCTTCATCTTATCCAAACAAATAACTTAACTCATTCGTAATTTATAGGGTCTGTTTATTAGCAGCTTAATGTGATTCACAGCTCATTCGATCAACTATATATGATTGTTTGATAGTGGCTTAATGATATAGAAAATAATGTATTCGATAAGCTTCTAAGGAGAACTTTATACAGAAAGCCAAGTTTTTTTTACAAATTTGCCTATCCTAATCAAAAAACACGTTTTTTCCATCTATGAACAAAATACTCTCATAAATAAAAACATTTTTATTATATACAGACAAATTAATTAATACAGACAATTTTATACATATAAAATTTAAAAAATACATAACATTTAATTATAAATATAATAATATAAAATAAACATTTTTACAACATTTTCAAGTTTGAAAGGTGGAAGGAGGTGGTCGGCAAGCAAAGAAGGAAAGTCATGTTGAAATTGTGAAGTGGGTCAATTTCTTCCTCCTTGGGGTATACCGTTGGACCAATAGAATGCTGCCACGTTTAAATATATATTTTTTAATTTTAAAAACCGTCGGTGTTCAACCTCCACACCAATAACAGTAATTTTTTTATTTTTATATCAAGTATCGTTTCAATAAATTGATATCATTTTATTCTTGTTTAACGAACAAAAAACCTCTTTATTCAAAGTTTACTGTTTTTAGGTTACGTCTCGAAAGGATATCAATTTGTTATAAAAGATGGTGGATACTTGACGTAACTATCTTCGAGGTTAATAAAAACTCATCGAAACAAGTATGAAAACAAGACGGAAAAAATTGGAACCGATGTAACACGTTTTCTAACTCTTACCAACAAAAGAAATGCGTCTTTTTCTTCTTCTTTTGGTCTTATATCACGTATGTTCAAGAAACAAATAAGTGTCGATGTAGAAATAATAGAAACTATTAGGTACTGTACGGTATATATCCTGGTACCCACTTACAGAAAACCCAATAATAATTATATCGAATGGATTTAAAACCAGTCAAAGTAATTGGATATTTTGTATCCCGATACTTGCCTACGTCTAGACACGTATAAGTAAATACGAAAATCTAAATCTTGTAAATCATAATCAACCAAATCAGTAATAAAAGATATGCAAGATCCTGGTTTTGTTTCATAGATCAGTAGTCTATGTCTTTTTAAAGTTACTTAAGTGTTTATTTAGCTGTTTCATAAACTCAGTCAAGATATGCGCAAGCTCCTCGAATACCCACGATTTTTTTGATATTCAAATAACTGTATAATATTTTTATAACTTTGCCAAGTCGACTCCCACATGCTATTCTCACTAACACAAATCTATTATTTTAGGAATGTTTGTTTTTCGGTATGGAAATGATTACATTTCAATGATTATAATACAATAATTTGTATATCATAAGTTGATTGATTGTATCTAAATACAAGACAGGTCTGCATTCGATCCCAAACCTTCCATTAGCATCAGTCGTTGAGCAAACCAAAAAATAACGTCTCACGTCAGTGTTTTTACAGGCAGATTTCGTAACAAACCAGTTGGGTTTCTAGTAATCAATCTTTTTTCCAAGTGTAATTATAAGTATAATTTTTTTTGATTAACCTGGATATCTAACCCGCTATTCGAGCCGACTAATCCCCATGACGACCACATGTTTTGCAATTAGCCAAGAGTCACCGCATTTAAACTTCCGTGACCACAAGAGGATTTTTATTTCCCCTTGGATTTGATGCTGGAACCTTTAAATATTTTTGATATTTGGAGTCAAGCTCAAACCAATCAGGTAACACATATAATTATGATTAAGATAGGTGGAATATTAGCATATGAGAGGAGGGAGGCATGATGGGTGTGTTAATTTATTAGGGAAATGAGTTGGGATGACAACTATTGTGATCAACATAAAGTTAAAAGGTGACGGTTGCCACCCAATTGTTTGCCGTCACGTAAAACCCAACAACTCCATTATTTTTGCTTGATTCTCGTGATTTTCGATTTTACCATCTACGATACAAAATTGGTAACGATTGTATTACGTTTACTCGTTTACGATATGTTTAACAAATTAGTTGATATAAGTTAGCTGATGACTGATAAATTAATTGAAAATAATTGATAAACAAATCATATTTGTGTTTAATTTGAATACTGTTACCATGTTATTGGATTTTAACTACGTTAAAAAATTAGATCCAGTAAAATAATGCCAGGTGTCCTTGTTATCTTTCCCAAAGTAACTCCCCCAAATTGGGATCATGAAAGCGATTAAAGAAACCCTAATTAACTGTGTCCCACTCATTTCAATGCCACAGTATATATACTACATGGACTTCATCACGTCAAACCCACCTTGTTTGTAAATATATATCTTCATAACTTAAAAACACTCGTCTGATTCAATTCTCCCTTCTGTCAAAACAAACCGCAACGAATATTCTTTGTTTTCTTTATCGTCATCACAGATCCCTCACAATCATTACAACCCACTTTGAATTCTGCATAGAAGCTTCAGTTTTCTATACATATAGAGGGAGGAGAGCGGTTGAATCGCTTGCTGTTGTTGGAATTTTTTTGATTTCGTAGCGGTTCCATCTTTATATAACACTCTGAATTACGATGGGGCCGCCTCAGTGCATATTGGTCACCGGTGGTGCTGGTTATATAGGGAGCCATACTGTTTTGCAGCTATTGTTGGAAGGTCACAAGACGGTCGTCGTTGACAATTTTGATAATTCATCTCAAGTTGCTATCAATCGAGTTCAGAAACTCGCCGGTGATCATGGCCGTAACCTGTCTTTTCAAAAGGTTAAAGTTCTTTCCGGTCCCTTTCCAAACTTACACTTTGTTGGAATTTTTTTTCTTCTCAATTTCGAGTTTTTTTTTAATAGATTCACTGTTTAATTTGGGTGTAATACATGTTTTTATGTACGATTGTTTGCTGAAAATTTGATTGCCATTAAGTATTGGGTTTTGATTTTAAATTTATAATTGACTGGGTCCTTAACTGGATTGTAAATCGGCAGTTTTAAACTCTGTTCCCTTTTCAGAATCGATTTTGTCTTCCAAAATTCAGTTAATTAGATGCTTAATTGAGGGTAATTCATGTATGTATGTATGTATGTATATTTAATTTGTAAACCTTTTCAAGCTTGTTTTGGATTTTAAATTGGTGCTGATTCATACAGTATATAATTGATTTAGGTCTTAACCTTAAATATGTCTGTACTTTTGAGGGGTAAATAGTTCGAGTGTCCTATACAATCTCTTCAATTGTTAGGTAATCAAATTAAGTTTTATAGCCATTTAGGTAATATATTTTTTAACAACTTTTTGGAAGTGAAACATTGAATCATATATATATATATATATATATATATATGAACTGATGTGGACTTTGATGTCCCTAGGTCCTCAAGTGTGGAAGGCGATTGATGGTATAGTCTTGGTTTATTTAGGAGGTTTATATGTTGGTGGCAGGTCTACACCAAAATGGCAAAAGTGGGTTAAAAAGTTTTCTTTTAGAGCAGTTGATGTTTATTTTAATTTTACTTTTTTGATACTTATGTTTTGCCTGCTTGAACTTCTTGTGATCGAAGTGGTCACTTGCACATTAGCGCATATAGCTCCTTGTGTGCTGGGCTTTGTTCGTGTGTGTGTGTGTGTGTACTTTCATCTGCTGTCATAAGGAGATCGCTTGTTATTATTTAGTTTTAGATTACAAATATGAACAGCGGAGGATGCAACGGAGTTGGTTTTTTGGTTAATCCAATTAAAATCACTGGACCATGAATAGTATCAAATGAGGGCTAACTGAAGTTGTTTGGATTTAATCAAGTTGCATGCGTCTATAAGTAACACCAGAGTTTCTGATGTTTCTTCTTCACTGCAGATGGACATCCGGAATAAGACTGCATTAGAGGAGCTTTTTTCGTCCACAAAGTAAGTTTTTTTTTTCACTGACTATTCCATTATCTAAGGCCATGTTTGATAACGATAAGCTAGCATATTTTTCTGAGTTTATTGAAAAAACCCCATTTGGTAAGCCATAACTAGTTTTTTTGAAAAGCTACTTCAGATACCTTTTCAATTAGCTCCAACGGTTTCTTTTTCACTTTCTTTTTTGGTCATTTTACATTGTCATATAGCTTATTAGCTAGTTTTTATAAAATGTGACTAGTTTATAAACTAGCTTATTCGCCAATAGCTAGCTTTTCAACTAACAACTAGCTTTTCAACCAACGAGTAGCTTACTTGCTAGTTTGCCAAACATAGCCTGACCGCTAAAATATTGAACAAGGGATGCTTTCTGTGATCTGTCTGTGTATGGTGTTTTTTCTACGACACTGGGGTTTGCTTACTATCATCACCATCATTTTACGCATATCATCAGTTGGCGGTGTTTTTTGATTTGCTTCTTTTCAAAATTCTTGCATTGTTACACCATTATGATAAAACTGATTAGAACAAGTGAAATGCAGTACGTAAAATTGCAACTACAGTCGGTCATAGTTTGTGAACACAGTCAAAATATGTATTTTTTGTTCTGGATTTTCCTTCCTGAGTTGTATTGAGTATGACCACCATTTTGCAACCTTCTCATGCTGGTGGTATGCAGGTTTGACGCTGTTATTCATTTTTCTGGATTAAAGGCGGTTGGTGAAAGTGTGAAGAATCCCTTGATCTATTATGACAACAATATCATTGGTACTTTAATTCTATTGGAAGTTATGAATGCCCATGGATGCAAGAAGGTAAACTATTTATTGTCTGTTTGCTCAGTGGACTTTCATTGCTTGGTTTCAGTGAAAATGTAAATGCTGTCTACTGCTTCTTCTTTTTCAGTAGTCCGTCTGCATTCTGATGCTTATCTTATGATCCTACATTCTTAGAATTTTTAAATCCCTTAGACTCAAGCATACATGGGATTGTGTAATAAAAGTTGATTTCAAGTAACAATCCATATAGTTAACTTCTTATTCAGAAAAAAGTTTTGTAAGTGATTTATATGTTTCCTGAAAGCCTATTGATTGCCTTTCATACTGTTTATCATTGTATTTTATAGTTGTTATAAACCAAACTAATTAGGCCATGTTTGACAACCATAAGGTAGCTTATTGCCTCGTTTGGTTAGCCATAAGCAGACTTTTTGAAAAGCCACTTCAAATAGCGTTTCAATAAGCTCAAAGGTTTTTTTGTGGGAAATTAACCAAAATAGTCATTTCAGCCGGTTGGATTTACCACTTAGCCATTTCTCTCCCAACTTTTCCAAAAATCACTACCTCCGCTAGTAAGACCTCCTCAACTTGCGGAGGTGCTAAACTCCAAAAAAAAAAATATCCGACTTGAGTCGGCAAGTAACACCTCCTTTACTTGCGGAGGTGGCTACATTAAAGAGTATATTATTGCTTTGCCCCATGGAGATGCATGTTTACACGTGCAGAGGTGCTTGGTTACAAGGCATGTGGCACCCTTGGAGGTGCCCATGGAGATGCATGTTTACTCAAATCAAGTTTTTTTTAAAACACCCCTCCGCAAGTTGAGGAGTTGTTACTTGCAGAGGTGGTGACTTTTTGGAAAACTTGGGAGATAAATGGCTAAGAGATAAATTTGGTCTGCTGAAATGGCTATTTTTATTAATTTCCCTTTTTTTTCACTTTTTTCTAATTATGCTCTTTATATATTTTCAGTTAATTTTTCAACTTGTTCCTTTAGGTCATTTTACATTGTCATCTAGCTTGTATACTTGTTTTTACCAAACATGACTAGTTTCAGCCAACAAGTAACTTATCAACCAACAACTAGCTTTTCCACTAACAGCTAACATTTCCACTAACAGCTAGCTTATCATCTACATTGCAAAATATAGCCTTATTTCATCTCTTGAAAAGTTTTATTAGAGCTGGTTGATGCTGGCATGAGAATATTCCACTTGCTAATTTGACATTATTTTATATATTTTCAACATTTCAGCTTGTGTTTTCATCATCAGCCACTGTTTATGGTTGGCCAAAGGAGGTCCCGTGCACTGAAGAGTTTCCTTTATCTGCAGCCAACCCATATGGACGAACCAAGGTATAAACTTTTCACCCTTTTATCAGTTTGTTCTTCAATTATCATTTTAGAATGCTTGCATCTATCTTCAGTATGGACTAACAGAATGAACCCCTCCAGCTCATGATCGAGGAAATATGCCAAGATATATATGCTTCCGACTCTAAATGGAAAATTATATTGTTGCGGTATTTCAACCCTGTTGGTGCACACCCTAGTGGTCAAATTGGCGAAGATCCTCGTGGGGTCCCAAATAATCTTATGCCCTTTGTCCAGCAAGTAGCCGTTGGCAGACTACCTACACTTAAAGTATTTGGAACTGACTACTCAACGAAAGACGGAACAGGGGTATGTTTAGGCTAACAAGTTTTTATATTTTTTATTTATAATTCTTACTTGATTGGATATGCAGACATTATGTGCACTCTTGTTTTTATTGCGTTTATGGGTCTTGGTTCGACCTTTTATTTCTATTTCAAACTGGTCCATAATAGCTTTTAAAAAAAATTAATTCTCTATCTGAGTTTTGACTTTCAAATGTCAAATAATTTACTATTTAGCTTCAAAGTAGATGGGATTTTTGTTGGTTGTATATAAATATTGATAAATATATGAAAGTTGAAACATTGTTTATGCAAGGTCAAGAAATAATGGGAGTTAAATATTGGAAATACGATGTTTGAATTTCTAAAATCAGAGCTTATGAACCCTTCTAAATTCGAATAAAAAGACACTATTGGTAAATGCTGACATCAGCATATGTTATTTCATCTTGCTGATCTCTCTTGATAGGATGGTCATGCCGGATAAAGGGTAGATGATACAGTCACAATCCTTCAATAATAAATCACTTAATTCGATGTCATAAGACCAGCTCCTAATAACCTTGAGGGTTTACTCAACTGTCAAATAAAGGCTAGGTTGCTCCTTCCCATAGATCACTTGTTCGAGTCTCCTCAGAGCCACTGAGGATTTTCTTGACTGTTATCTTCATGGTCCTATGGGGTTAGTCGTAAGCTGGCCTAGACACCCACAGTTACCCGAAAAAGGAGTGGCTCCTAAAACTGTAGGAAAAGTTTCCTTTTACATCATAAAGTGAGACAAGTATTGTAGGGTATTGTGGCATAGTAGGTTTTACCGAGTTTTCTCTCTGTATTTGTTGGAAACTTTTATCTTGATCTTACCTTTTCTGCCCTCAATTTTCAGGTACGTGATTACATCCATGTCGTAGATTTAGCAGATGGACACACTGCTGCATTGAGGAAACTCTCCGACCCTAAAATAGGTGCGTATCTTTTCCCATGTTTTACATGGTGAATCTTTCTGATTTCATACGGACATCTGTAGTCTAAATGACCCTAAGTTTCGGGTATTTTTTGAAAATTGGATCATGTTCGATCTTAAACTAATGTTTTATCCTTTTTAGGTTGTGAAGTCTACAACTTGGGAACAGGAAAAGGCACATCTGTTTTGGAGATGGTAGCAGCATTTGAAAAGGCATCAGGAAAGGTATTACCATTTTGAAAAGAACTTCATAAAGGAAATTATTTGCATTTTGGGCACTAATAAGACATTTGAATTCCTCGGCTACATGTAATGTTTACGCCTTGCTTATCTTGGTCCAGCGAATTCCTCTCGTAATGGCTGGTCGTCGACCTGGTGATGCTGAGGTCGTATATGCATCAACAGGAAAGGCAGAACGTGATTTGAACTGGAAGTAAGTAGTGCTCTTGCGCTTAACGAAAAGAAAAATAGATATGTGATTTCGAGTAAAAAGAAACTAGAAAAGAAAGAAATGTTGACATGCCACACTACAACAAAATGTTCTAATAAGCTGCTATATAAGACTTGACTTTATAGGACAAAACAATTGTATGTTCTATATAAAATAAAGGTGTTACAATAGGATGATACAACGTAATTGGGCATCCCAACAAGTTTTTCAGGACACTTTTGAAATATCGTCTCTTTTTAGCTTTTTCATAGGACCCTTTTCCTGTGAACACCTCTTTTTATAAGACACATTTTTTCAAATAATGACATAAAAAGATTAGAGTCTGTTTGTTAGCAGCTTAATGAGCTTAATAGGACTCACAACTTATTTGATCAACTATTATTTGATCAACTATACATGACTGTTTGGTAGTGACGTAATGAGATATAAAGTGGCTTATTCATTAAGCTTCTAGGGGGAAGCTTTATGCAGAAAGCCAAGTTTTTCCAAACATATTCCTTCCTAAAAACAAGCTTCTTCTATCTATGAAAAAATCATCCCAAACAAAAACTTCCCCAATCTATACATGGAGATAATCCACACAAAGAGTTTTATCCATACATGATTTGATGAAAAACCAAACAAACAGCCCCTTAGAACTCTTTATTTCAAAGTTATCCTCTAAAACTTGTTAGGACGCACAAAAACATCCTATAAACTTATTGTAACAAAATTATATAGGATATACAATTGTTTGGTCCTATAAATTTAAGTCCTATTAAGCCGTCAGTTAGGAGACTTGGGATTAATATGGTGTCCTATAAAACCGAATTTGTTGTAATTCCAGTATGGAATCATGAAACAGAGATCAACATATCGCCTATCAAAACTTATGATACTTGAATTCCCCTAGGCATGATTTTCACGATTGAGATTATGCTTATAATTGCAGGGCAAAGTATGGAATAGATGATATGTGCAGAGATCAGTGGAACTGGGCCAGCAAGAATCCCTATGGTTATCTAACCAAAGATGAAGCCAAGTAAAGACTACAAACTGGATGATTCATTTAGCGTTCATATTTTATGGTAGTTTTTGATGGTTTCTGCTAAATACTTCGAAGTTATGAACTCATGGGTCTCCTGATTAGCATTAGGGTTAGCATCATCAGTGATGTTTTCCTAGTTTCATTCTTCTTTCTCTTTTCTGTAATTACTAGTTGGCTGTTTTTTTTTCTGGTTTTCTTCGTAGAAGTTAAGGTAACCGGGCTAATGCAGAAAGAGTCAAACAAAGCTAAGAACAAATGGGGGACTGTAGTTAGTCGTTTATCGTACAAATAGTTCGGTTTCTTGTATATGAAATATGGTATCTGTGTAGCAATGGATATTGGGTAGGGATGGTAAAATTTCTTTATTCATTATTATTGAATCTAATACAGTCAAGATTATTGCTTTCTGCACCTTTACTTTGGCTCCTGTTTTGGGTTGGTTTCTTTTTTGTGATTCCATGTTCTATTTAATGGTTTGCAACCATTTACTTAGACTTGGACCCTTTATCTTCTGTATATGTTAGGATCGATTCATTTTTGAATCGTTTTTCTGAAGAATAATCTTGAGGTTTCATATATTTTAACATGATATTAGAGTCAAGGTCTATTGTCGAACATTTTTGTCCAAGACTTGATACTCTGATATGTCTTTGTCCATCTAGCCTCTGTTGGAGGGGTGTGTTAGAGTCTCAAATGGGCTGGCTAGACTTGAACATTTTCTCATTAATGTATGTTGAAACCCCCTTCTGTCCTCAAATACTCTTTTGGAGAGTAATCTAATGGTTCCACATGTTCTAATGGAGACCAACATACTCTAGTTTTGAAAATCCGTTCATTAAGGGCTTAAAACCGTGATGTTTAAAATCATTTTTTATAACTTTGGAGGCTACGTTGGCTCGGTTTACATCTTCAATATAAAATTTGTTGAAATCAATGTGGCATGCTAATTAGTTTGATTCTTATAAAAATGGGTTAGCCGATTTCATTTGTTTGAAGCCATGGTTGTATTCTAAATCAATCTTAAAATATATTGCAAAAATTATTGATGTTTCCAAAGTGTTATTTGTAAAGGCGTTGACACTCTCAAAATCAACATCAAACCAAATGCAAAGTTACATTCACAAAAATACAAAAATGCAATATTGGAATTGAATAAAGGAATCTACATTTAATATAGAATGAAACACAAATATTTTCGATACAGATAAAAACACCAAAAGCCAGTAGAGAGGACAACGTTCGTAAAATATGAATGGTTGACTTTTATACTTATGTAACTTCCTATAACGGATTCTCTTTGACTAGTTCATAAAATTTATAACGCTAATGCCCCTAATCTTTTAATTTATTTCATGGATGATACCGGCTCTAATTGGGGAGCATTGAGTGGATGTTTGATAGCAGTTTAACGAGCTTAATAAGAGATATAGCTTATTTGTTCAGTTATATAGAGATGTTTGTTAGTGGCTTATTGATAAATGAGACGACTTATTCGATCAACTTGAGGTGGGAAGCTTTCTTGATAAACCACTGCATGGTAAAAATGAAAAGAAGATTGAAATATCATTCATTTAACGGATAAACTTACTAAGATCCGTAAGGACATGTACCATTTATTCTGCTTATCGTTTTTTGGAAAGTGTCCCGAACTATATACATTGATTAATTCCGGTAAATTGTGATGGCAAAAAATCAGCTCTATTGTGTGCGTCTGAAATCGAACGTCGGTCAGATGAGATATTTCACCACATCCCCCGAGACCTCAATCATTACGCCACAACCCTTGTGGTTATTTTGTCTATCGTTTGACGAATGATTCAGTAGAAATGAAAACAAGACTTCCGAGCATCGGTGTACTTTTTTTCAATAGCAAGAAATAATACGGAAAATTGGTGTAATTTACCCTTTAAATTCTTTATATAAAACAATCTTAATCTTTAAAAAAATACCATCAAAATCCATGCCTAACCATCAAGGGCTAAACTTAAGGATTAATTAAGACGTAGAAAAGAAATTTAAATTTACGAAAACAATGCAATTGCGGTCCATTTGTAGAAGTCTCATTTTATGCTTCAAATCGACCCACACTATTAGTCTCTTCTCTTGTATACACAACACACACACACACACACACACACACACACGCGCACACACACACACACACACACACACACACACACATATATATATATATATATATATATAATACAAACCCTCTTCCATTTGGAACAAGTCCTGCTCTCTTTCAATGGAGAATTTGATAAGTTTGGTGAACAAAATACAGAGAGCATGCACAGCATTGGGAGATCATGGAGAAGCAACTTCATTGCCTACTCTTTGGGACTCTTTACCCTCCATTGCAGTTGTTGGTGGCCAGGTTCTTTTCTAATTCCATCTTTCTTCAAATTTTCCTCCATTTTTCTTCATTGCATCAAATGCCCATCTTTCCTTTTCGCTCGTAGATGCAGATTCTACAGTAAAGATTCTTGATTTGTTCAATAACTGTATGTTCATTTCAGTGGTAACATGATACTGTAAAGATTGTTGTTTCTGCATTTCCACGTGATTTGGAACAAGTCTCATGATGGTTTCAGACGATAATCGAAGACCCATCTTTCGTTTCTTCAATTATGCGTGTGTAGAAAGTAGAATTTTGCTTCTTTAATCGACGAATTGTGTGTTTCATTAAGTAAAGATTCTTTCTTTTGTTTAATTTTGGCAGAGTTCAGGGAAGTCTTCAGTCTTGGAAAGTATTGTTGGCAAAGATTTCTTACCCAGAGGATCAGGTATGTCAATAAGGGCTTAATGGGTCTGAGAGCTTATTTGGTCGGCTATACGTGATTGATTGTTTGTTTGGTGGTGGCTTAATGATATAGAAAGTGCCTTAGGGCTTGTTTGTTAGCTGCTTAATTAGCTTAATGGACTCACATTTTATTCGGTCAGCTATACATGACTGATTGAGGGTGGCTTAATAATATTGAAAGTTGCTTAGCCGGTAAGCTTTATGTGGAGAGCAAAGACTTTTTCCAAACATGTCCCTCTCAGTTAAAAAAAAAACGATCCTTCCATCTATGAAATAACTACCTCAAACAAAAACCTTCTTAATCAATACTGACAGATTAATCCACACAAACAACTTTATTCATACAGGACTTAATGAAAAACCAACCAAACAGCCCCTTATTCAATAAGCTTCAAGGGGTGCTTTATGCAGAAATTCAAAGTTTTTTCCAAATATGTCCCTTCCAATTAAAAAACATGCTCCTTACATCTATCAAAAAACTCTTTCAAACAAAAACATTCCCAATATATAAAGACAGATTAATCCACATATAGACATTTGATCAAAATTTCAAGTTCAGCAAGAAATATGTGTTTTTGAACATTGCTATATGCAGGAATCGTTACTCGACGCCCACTAGTTTTGCAGCTTCATAAGATAGATGAAGGCAAAGAACACGGCGAATTCCTTCATCTTCAATCGAGGAAGTTCTATGATTTCGGTATAAACTTTATAAATAACCACCTTTCTTGCACACCCTTCTAATTCTTGAGAGCTTTTCTTGATATCGATCGTGGATTTGTTAGAGAATTAGTAACGTAACTGTAGTGATCTTTAATGGCCAGTTGCTGTAAGAAAAGAGATTTCAGACGAGACTGATCGTGTAACAGGCGAAACGAAACAAATTTCAAGTGTCCCAATTCATCTTAGTATCTATTCTCCAAATGGTAAATTCATCATAACTTTAACTAATATAAGGGCCGTTTACTAAACGCTTACCTGGTAAGTACTTACTCGGTAATTTCCCTCACCGGATGAACATGGCAAGGGTCAAGAATCTTACCCGGTAAGAGCAATGATAAGGATTGGAGAGTCTTACCCGGTAAGTCAGGATGATGACTCTTACCCGGATAAGCGCTTACCAAGTAAATTGTGGTATATGATAGGTGTTGATGTACTACAATAAAATAAATTATAGTGTTAGACTCCTAATGTTAAGCACTTACCGGGTAAGCATTTAGGTAAACGGCCCCATAGATCTATAGCAATTATGGAAGGAATTTTTGATGAAAATTATGAACTCGACAGTGGTGAATTTGACATTGGTTGATCTTCCCGGTCTCACAAAAGTTGCGGTTGGTAAGTGAAGAAGATACTTGTTGCTTTCTAACGAAAATTTTGACACGAAACGAGCTTACTGATTCAAATATTGGATGAATGTAGATGGTCAATCTGAAAGCATCGTACAAGATATCGAGAATATGGTCCGCTCCTATATTCAAAAGGTATGCTATAATTTCGGTTGTTAAAAAAAGTGCATACTCGTTTGTAGCGTTTCAAGTTAATTTTGTAACCTTAAAAAACGTAGCGGAAATTAATTTTATGGTACTTATTTAGAAAGCTTTTCTAAAAGAAACGCTAAGCAGAATCCAATGACGTTTAAAACAAATCTAAAAAATCCATAAGGTGTTTAGAAGGTTACCTTCGGGTTTCTGATAGTAAAAGCCTACGTATTCTTTGTTAGGTTTACATATTCATTGGCAGTGTTCCTGTGTGACACGTGTCGTGGGCATATAAAAACTTACATTGTTGATAACTATCTGTTTGTCATTAATGGGATTTTCTTGATTCAGCCAAACTGCATTATTTTGGCAATTTCACCTGCTAATCAAGATCTGGCAACCTCAGACGCGATTAAAATGTCGCGTGAAGTGGATCCCACAGGTACCCGAATGCGTTTATGTTTGTCGTTAGCTTCTAAAAACTTGTTAACATTCTAAAAATGGTAAGTTACAAGCTTGAATTGTGTCATTAGGAGAAAGAACTATTGGAGTCTTGACCAAAATCGATTTGATGGATAAGGGTACCGATGCAGTTGATGTAAGTTAATCTGGAAATTTACATATAGCCAAAGCTGATTGGTGGTTTCACTTTTTAGCCGATCCTTGCGCAGAAGGCTTAAGCATATGCAAAAGTATGCTTGAATGATGCCTTAATTAGTGGGGTTGATCTTGTTCATATGTTCTCTTGATTTCTTAGATCTTAGAAGGGAAATCGTATCGGCTAAAGTTTCCGTGGGTTGGGGTTGTTAATCGTTCACAACAAGATATCAATAAAAGGGTCGATATGACTTCTGCAAGACGTAGAGAACGGGAATACTTTTTCAACAGCCGAGAATACAAGCATCTGGCTTCGAGAATGGGTTCTGAATATCTTGCAAAGATGCTTTCAAAGGTAAATTCTTGGAAATTTTCTTGAAATGAATCTTCTTGTTGTTGTTTTTGTGTAACGAGCGTTGACAAGTGATTTACTCTCAGCATTTGGAAGGCGTGATCAAGTCCCGAATCCCAGGCATACAGTCGTTAATCAGCAAAACTGTTGCTGATCTTGAAGCTGAATTGAGCCATCTTGGAAAGCCCATTTCTACGGATGCTGGTGTAAGTCTTCCGTCTTGGTGTCGGGTGGTCTTTTGATGGAACTCGAGCTTCATGGTCATGGTTAAAAATGTAGGGAAAGTTGCTCGTGATGATGGATATATGTCGGGCTTTTGATCAAATATACAAAGAACATCTAGAGGGGATGTAAGTATGCGATCCTCAACCACCTGCTCTTTACAACAAAATGGGCTTTATAGGACACAAAATATGTCTAAATGTCCTAATAGACTGTTTTATAGGACTTAAATTTTAACAAAATATGTCTAAATGTCCTAATAGATTGCTTTCACGTAAAGAATGGCAATTTTGATTATTGCATTGAGAATATGGCTAAAAAGTGAATGGAGGTGGGAAGATTGGTTATTTTAGTCAATTTCCGTTGTTTTTATAAGATATTTCTTTTTCAAATAATGTCATATAAAAAGACTAATAAGACAGTTTATTTCCCTAGAAAATTGTTAGGACACTCAAAAATGTCCTATCAACTTATTTGTAACACTTTTATATATGACGGACAATTGTTTGGTTCCATGAACTCAAATATTATAAAGCAGTCTATTAGGACATTTAGAAATAATTTGGTGTGCTGATTTTGTTGTACGGCTTTAGCATCTATACATTTGTGGGTGTTTCTTTATATTCGAGTTTTCTTTTCACGTTATACAGGCGATCCGGAGGAGATCAAATTTACCATGTTTTCGAACGCCAGCTTCCTGCTGCTCTAAAGAAGTTGCAGTTCGACAAGCAGCTTTCGATGGAGAATATCAAGAAACTGATCACAGAAGCCGATGGATATCAACCGCATCTTATTGCTCCTGAACAAGGATACCGTCACATCATTGAATCTTCGTTGGTTACCATCAAAGGACCCGCCGAGGCCTCCGTGAATGCGGTAACTCAAAAGAAAGGGAAAAAAAAGAAACTTTTAGTTTTCGGGTTCTTGAAAAGAAGCTAACTTTTCAAGATTTCATTCAGGTTCATATGATATTGAAGGAGCTGGTTCGAAAAGCCATCAGTGAAACCATGGTGAGTTTCTTGTACCATTTTCGGGTCGTTTAGGATGCGTTTGGTATCGAGACAGACAAGAAAGGAACATAACAATTGTTCAACATTTGATAAGACTATAACTGAACAGAAAAAAAAATAGATAAAATGACTGATTTACCTCTGATGAGTTGTTTATATCTTCTATATATTTTGATTAATTTATGTAATATATTAAATTATGATAAATAAATATTTTTATAATAAAATATATCGTTAGAAAGTTTTCATCAAAACGATACCAAAATAAAAAAGTTTATTTAGTTTTTAATTTTTATTTTATACTTTTTCTATATTATTTTTTATTATTAATATTTAATAAATTACATAAATTAACCAAAATATAAAATCCATATAAAAATAATATTTTGAGGTCAGTAAAATAAAAGTTTAGAGACCATAAAATATGAGAAATAAAATCTAAAGAATGAATAAAATGTAAAGATGGTGACTAGTTTGATGTTTGAGAAGAGAATTAAGTGTTATTTTGAGGATACATTGGTAAAATGTAAGTCTGTTCCACCTTATTCCATGGGGTGAGGATGGAATACGTCTGTTCCATATAAAAGTTCAGCCAAACATGGATCAGTGATCCTCATTCTGTTATGTTTCATCTTGTCCAGTGTACCAAAGGCACCCTTAAAGAAGTATTTTTTTTTTCTTTAAGTATTTCAAGATTTCTTGATCAGGAGCTGAAGCAGTATCCAAGTTTAAGAAAAGAAGTGGAAAATGCTGCAAATGAGTCACTTGAAAGAATGAAGAAAGAAAGTAAGAAGGCAACACTTATGCTGGTTGATATGGAATGCTCTTACTTTACGGTTGACTTCTTTCGCAACCTTCCTCAAGAAGTCGATAAGGGTGGGAACCCGACACAATCCATTTTCGACAGATATAACGACATCTATCTTAGACGAATTGGTGAGCTCCTGGATTCCTAACTCATGCACACTTCTCACCTTTGATGAGGTTGGATTCCTAACTCATGCACACTTCTCACCTTTGATGAGGTTTGAACCTTTAACCTCGTAACAGACCGAATTCATATCGAGGTTTTTGACTTAACTAGCCTTTTTTATAAAAAACTTTACAAAAATAACTCAAATACTCATTTTTTTCCCCAAAACTAACTCCTAATTTCGTACCCTTTTTCATGAAAGGAGAAAGGGCCAACAAAAATCCACGTGAGCCCCACCAAATCTGGCACAGCTTCGTGCCAGGTGGTGCGATTCACGGTTGCCGGCACGAAAGGGCCCACCTGCTGGCACCGATTTGACCCCACCCTCCTGATTTATGTCCCTTATAACATTTTCATGTTAGAAGATCTATAAGAATGAAGAATGAAAGAAAAATGGTATATAATCTTGAAGGTAAATCATAGTTTGAATTTGTGATCAGGAACGACGGTTTTGCAGTACGTGAATATGGTTCTTGCAGGCTTAGTGAACTCGGTTCCGAAGTCTGTGGTTCACTGTCAAGTTCGTGAAGCCAAACGCAGCCTCCTCGACCATTTCTTTGCCGAATTGGGTCAAAAAACGGTAAGTTACCCATCATTTGTGGTCGCATCTCCAACCATACTGCAAAAACACCTTTTTGCCGGTTTGGAAACTCCAACCACACCGCATAAGAAAAACGGCAAAACGCTTGAGATTGGAGAGATACGCCGTGTTCCTGCAGAGTGGTTGGAGTTCGAACTCTATTTTGATGTTAATGGGCCCGCTTTTCGGTTGTAGACATCAAAAGGGTATTGTTGTCTGAACTCCGTTGGATCAAATCATAGCACTGAAAATGTAAAAATAAAGGTTTGATGCTGACACGTAGGAGAATGAATTATGATACGTAATTATTTGTTACTTATATCGATGATTTATATGCAGCCAAATCAGTTATCGAAGTTATTGGATGAAGATCCCGCGATCATGGAGAGGCGATCATCGATCGCGAAGAGATTAGAATTATATAAAAGTGCAGAAATGGAGATTAATGGTGTTTCATGGTGATTAAAAGGCCATGAAAATGCTGTCATCTCTGTCTCAACTTCTTTGGGTTCATATATTTGCATGTTTTTAGTTGAGGATTAAATCAGATGCAAAGCACGAAGTGCAAAGTCATCTGGTTTTTTATTCGTAGTCATGGGCAAAAATAGAATTTCACGTTCCCGTTTTCTCAGTCGATGAAATCGACTTATCGGATGTATGCGTTACCGTTATAGAATTTGTATTTGACGTGACACTGGAAGGTTCAAATGAGAGGTTAAATATCGTGAGAATGTAAGAAAGAAAGGTTTGTATGATTCGTTGAAAAAATTATGAAACAACACACACGATAAACGCATTTAGGAAAACAGTACAATGGTAAAAACGAAACAATTAACGTTTATGGTATGTTTTGTTCAAAACGTACGTTATCATAAAATCTGGAATTTTTATAAGAACGGAATAATTTTGTTTAGGGTAACGGATAAGAGGGTTTTATTTTGAGAAACCATGAAATTATGATAAATTTGAGAACCAGTACATAATGTGTTATTTAATATGAATTTTTTTTCATTTAAGACTATAGTTTAACATATATTTATTTCACACGTATTTGTTTCATGATGTGAACCACGTGAACTGTTTTAGCCTGTTTGTGAGACAAAAGTTAAATATAAATAAGTTTTACATTGTGAATGAATACATATGAAACAAACACATTATGAAACAAATATATGATCATCAATATATTAAATATTAGTCTTATATGGAAAAAGAAACCTATAAAAAATACCTTAAGATAAAAGATCGGTTATCGTAATTTGGAGATTTTATTTCATTACGTTCCATGATGTTCAAATATAATTTTTTTAAGTATATGATATTTATATACGGTAAATTGTACAAATAAACTCACACACTCTCTTCACATTTTGTGAGGTTTGAACTTCTCACCTCCTAAATGACTAAAGACTCGTATACCGGTAAACCAAAGTCCCTTTGATAAATTTCCTTTTGTTATTATAAAATTCTAACATAAGATTACATTAATACCGGAGTTTTCACTACAGCTCTCAATTGTATTTATTTTGGTGGATGAAATTTGTATATTTTTAATTATTTATTAAATAATAATAACATATTTTAATTAAATTAATTGTGTGATCAAATTTGCGGTTATTAGCTCATTGTAGAGATTGGCCAAAAATGAGGTCGGGTCGGACTTAAATATGTACGTTCGGGTCGGTCCTATTTTTTTGTAAAAATCAATTTTAGGAAACTTGTTTAAAGCTTATTTATATCATCTCATCAAAATACATTTTAAAATCTTTAATTGGGTCATTTAAATACAGTTTTTTATACAAAAATATTATAAATGTTTCTATAATTACGAATTTTAAAATTTAGTACTGAAACACTTTAAAAAGAACTTGAAAAACTTACAAAAAGACACTTGAAAATTTTGATAAAAAACTTAAAAATTCTATAAAAATCTTGATATATAATTTATAAGAAACTTGACTTTTAAAAGAATGGGTCATATGTATAACCGGTTCCTGTCTTGGATTGGGCCTTAATTTTCATTAACAAAACATAATAGGTCCCGAACCATCGGTCTACAACCAGTCCTTACCCGTCTCTACAGGTCCCAGTACTAAGCCGGTACAGATCCGAGCCGGGCCCATTTTGAGCATCTTTACTCTCTAGGCTCTAGCTCGTTGTGAGGCGTGAGCCGAGGTTATATGGGCTCGAGAATGGGCTTAAATTTACCATGGGCCCGATTGGTTAAAAGGCCCTTAACTACCATGGACCACCGTTTTGCAACCTTACCACCGACCGGACGATCTTTTCCCGCCATTTTCCTCTGTCACCGCCTATTATTTTGGGAGATTGCTCTGGTAGTTAAACTTCATCGGAGAGAAAAGTCGCGGATTATTGAGGATGGGTCGAAGAACAGCAGAGGAAGCGCAAGTCCTCCTTCGTAGAAGACTCTGTGATCCCAATTTCATCTTCTCCGTCTTCTCCGATTCTCCCGATAGCAACTACAGGTTCGATTTCTGTAAATGTATGTGTGTGTTTAGTTTCTGATAAAATTATTCGAATCGTGTACAACTTCTACGATTTATATGCGAAACTTTAAATCTCCTTTTTGTTGACCTCCATTTTGATGGATTATTGTTTGGATTAAAAGTGTTTGCCGAATATAATTTCTGAACAAATGCAGCAAGTTGAAATTTATAGTATCAAGTTCAGTGACTGAGGCCTGTAATAATTCAATGCTGCTTCTGGGACCTCGAGGATGCGGGAAAATTGCGGTATAATATTCAGTTTTTGTATCAGTTTATTTTGGTTTTTGATAGTTTGTAACGTGATTTCATGAAGTCATTGATTACGGAATTTAGGTGTTGGACCTTGTTCTAGAAGATTTACTGAAAGAATATCCTGAAATGATCTCAGTGGTATGTATATCGTTTATCTATTTATGATTTTATGTTCACATTACATTTTGTTACTATAAAGAATGTGTATGTTTTTTGGTCTAAATTATTTGGGCACAACAGTTAATGTCTGATTGCTTCTTTTCGAGTTTGTTCAGATTAAACTGAATGGGCTTTTACACTGTGATGACAATTGTGCTGTAAAGGTGAAATTCTTAAATTCATTCCTTTTACCTTTTGAAGTTATGCTTGGCTTCCGTTTTCATATGTTAATTACTCTACATCGATAATAGTGTGCACCTCATTCTGCCCTTGTTCTTTTTTGTGTTCCCGTAAATACCTTTTATATTTGATGATTAAGGTGTACTTAAGAACTTGATAAATGGTCAAATATAGGTTTTACTCGAAGCAAAAAAGAGTGTCGCAGAACTGCCAACATCATCGTGATATGAATCTTCTCCAAGTAGTTACATATATATTATATTTACAAAAAGATTTGAATATTTCTTGCAAATTGATCACCATCATGATCATGGTATATGTTAATGAAAAATATCCATAGGATCTTGACCAATAAAATCTTCTCATTCTATTATAGGTGTTCATATTAACTAACAACTTTTAATTTAGGATTTTTTTCCATCTTTTCTCATCTTATATTCTTCGTTTGAATATGTTTCCTGTTCATTTCAGGAAATTGCTAGACAATTATGTATTGAGCATGAACTGATGTTTTCTAAAATGGTACCACCTTGGATTCATCTTTGACTGAATGATACATCCGAGCCAAGTTAACTTGGACCTGATCATCTTGTCAATGTATTTCAGGCATCATATGATGATAATTCACAGTTTATGATAGCCATGTTACGGTCAGTATCCATTTCTTTTCTCTTTCTCAGTGTGTGTGTTTTCGGTAAATATATATACTCATTCCGTCCTATGAAAACGACAACACTTGCCACCTCAGTATGAAAAACGACAACATTTCCTATTTACATTACTTTGTAGTGTAATAATGCATTTTACGTCATTGTCATAATCACAAAGAGCTCACGATATTGATTTTGGTCCACAAGGTTCCCCCATTTTGTCACCATTGAAGGGTAATTAAGACATTTTGGTTAATAGTCAAATATTATTATACTACATGAAGAATCAAACATTGCAATTTTCATGGGATGGAGAGAGTAGTTCTATTGACTTCTAAATTCAGCTGTTGGCTAAGTGTCTTCTATTTAATTATGATCTCCATTAACAGAGAATGTGGATTAGCACACAAGACGGTCGTTTTTATATTGGATGAGTTTGACCTTTTTGCTCAGGTGAAGTCTGCATACTGATTGTAATTCTTGGGTTATTTCCTTTCATCCTGGAATTTTGGAATTTAATGTTGTGCTGTTGTTTCCTTCTACTCCTTTTTCCCTAACTTTTTCATGTTCCTAAAGCTGGCATATCATTTTCACATGGAACTTATGTATGCTCCTGAAGTAGTTTTCATGTCTGATTCATTATAGGGCAAACAAAGATTACTCTACAGCTTGTTAGATGCAATGCAATCTGTATCATCACAAGCTGTTGTCATCGGTGTGAGTTGTCGATTGGTATGTTAAAAGCTTTACTTTATTACTGCATGATTGGTTTTTTTGCAGTCTGTAATCTAATATGTTCCATCTTTTAAGCGAGTTCTTTTGTGAAGTTGACTCATGCCAAGTGCATTTGACCCAATTGCAACCCAATCCAATCCAATCCAACTGATTATGGAGTGAGGGGTTCAAGCATCTTGATAGTTGGTTATGTGCATGTATGTCCAATCAAAAAGTGAATTAAAATGATATTGGTATCATTAAGAATAAAATTTTGGAAAACCAAAAGTTGGCTTTTGAAATTATAATGAAAACCTAAACCAAACAAACCCCTGTGTATGCTCCAAGATGTATGAAGACCTTACTTCTGTTTTAAGAGACAGAGAGGCTGTTTTTGAAGAAGACCCCGGCTTGCAAAAAAATAAGAAACATATCTATAAAGCACAAATATAGGCCACATATATGCAAATTAGGGGGGGGGGGGTTCACTTCGAGTACAGAGTTCTAAAATAATGCGAAGAGCCTATCTAACTAAAAAGCACACAGAACACACCAAAGATATCTTTAAACGGCCAATGCATAATCCTTTTGCTTCCAAAATTTTCGCCACTGCTCTAACCTAACATTCACCTCTCCTCTCGTCTCTGCTACCATAGTTATGTCATCAACAAATAACATGCACCACACTACAACCCTCGGATTCCTCGGGAGATCTCATCCAAAATCACCGCAAAAAGGAATGTGCTTAAACATTGTCCTTGAACTCCATCTTTTAACATGAGTCACCTTTTCTCGTGTTCATCAGGCCATAATACCATAGTTTGTACACAGTACCCTCTCTTGTCCGCTCCTCCTTCCACTTTTTCTCTTTCTTCAAATATCTACCAACTCAGATTACTTGCTATTCAACGTTCCTACATTCAAACTACCAAAATGGAGCCTAGCCTGAACCTCACTCACTCCTATCATTCCCCCAGCCCCCCTCGACAGTGTCAGCACTCGCCTAACTGGACATGACCTTAAGCTACCATTGTTGCTGTTTTCCGCTATTCGTTATGATCACACACAACCCACAGTACCACCATAAAAACACAAATAATAGGCACACAATAGCAACACACCAAAACTTGCAATTTTTAACAAAGTCAAGATTTTAGGTTGTATGCCATGCAGGATGCTGATCAGCTGTTGGAAAAAAGAGTAAGATCTCGGTTCTCACATCGGAAATTATTGTTTCTTCCTCCCCCAAAGGATGATTTGCAGAGGTGATTGTGTTGTCTTGCTTTGTCGTGCGAAGATATCTTTTAATAGGTTGGCATTTGATAGAATTTAGAAGTCTTTGCTTTTGACTCTTGTGTGTTTGCCATGCAGACTTTTGAAACACATTCTGTTGCTGCCAACAGATTCAAGCCTTCCTCATGACTATGTAACAGAATTTAATTCAAGAATTTCTGTATCCTTTTTTCTCTTTGCTAGTGACATGCTCATCTCGCATGGTACTTAAAAGAACAATGAGATTGCATGGGTTATATGTGGAAACCTATGGCAAATAGCAATCAGTTGTTTACAAGTGTATGACATTCCTTGACATGTTACAGAACATATTAGCAGATAAAAGATTCATCGAAGTCACTGATAAATTATCAGATTCTGACTCCACCTTCAGTAATTTCTTGAGATTTCTGTAAGATCCTTTTCCTGTATTCTGTAAGTATAAATTTTCATTTGGTTACCTTTTTGCTAACTTTCTTCCAAAACCTGTCAACTTTGGCTTTGTTAGGTTTTCTGCTGTAAGTTACATTGATTTGCGATCTGGTTTCATGACTCTTGACAATTTCAAATCTGCACTTTCAACCATCCAACGGCAGCCTAAGTTGGATTGCTTAAAAGGTATGATTTCTGCATCATGATCTACTCTCCTCTTCAAGGACGTCATGATTCTCTTAGCATCTTACATGCCACCAAATTCCCTGAATCCTATAAAAGATTGCAATACTCTGTTTACGGGTGTCCCACGAAAATTGCTACCTATAATTTATCTTGGCAAAAATTCTAAATTAGTGATACTGATTTGGGTCCACAAGATCCCCATGAAAATTGCTACCTATATTTTATCTTGGCAAAAGTTTTTGGTAATAGTCAAAAAACTTGTGTTAAACTCTGTTCATTTCATGGAATGAAGGGAGTGTGATTCATTCTGTACCTGCCTTTGTGGGACATAAAGACTCGAAATGGTTTCTCTCTCGAATATCTGTTCACCCCTCTTTATCTCTATCTTTAAGAGCGAAGTAGCAATATGCAAAGATTTTCCAATGCAAATTCAACTTTTTGTTGCAGATTGCTCAATTCTAGAACTTTATATGATGGTTTGCATGAAGAGATTGGAAGTCAAAGAACAGGGGTCGTATAATTTCAATTCTGTAATGAAAGGTCAGCGCCAATGTGGCTTACAGTCTTCTCCCTCTAATCATGGTGCATTGCATTAGCGATTTACATAGCTAATTCTCCATGGCAGAGTACAAAAGCATACATGATTCCTTCCAGACATCTGATAATTATTCACGTACTGTATGCATACGGGTAAATCTTATTTTTCTGTATAATATCATCATGAGTGTCTTCTGATATAGTTTTTCAAGCTAATTTTGTTGAAATTTATTACATGCAGGCCTTTGAGCACCTTCTTGATCGTCAGCTAATAGAGTTTGCAGATAGAGGACACAATCAGTCTATTGAGTTTCGTTCAGTGAAGCTGCTAATTTCGTCCTCTGAACTACATCAAGGATTGAAATCAAATCGCTCATGTCCGGTAAGTTACTTGGGTTTTGGTTCCAGTTTTATATGATATGATTATGGGTTTCTTCAGTATGGATGCAAGAAATTGGTATAAATGAAAACAAGCATGGGTTAAAGAGATGGTAACTGATTTGGGTTTGGCTTGTGCAGGCAATTCTTCAAAAACTAATGGAATCCTGAAGGATACAAAGTATGTAGTAGTAGAAACAAAGAGTGTACAACATTACGAAGATTGAAGTCTTTTCCATTTAACAAATCTTTCTGTTTTCTTGTTGTATACGCTTAAATGGCGAACTAAGAATGTAATGGTGGAAATGTATTGTGTTGATTAGACTTTTTTTTTTTATTAACCTGGATATCCAACCCGCTATGCAAGCCGACTAATCCCAGGACGACCACCTGTTTTGCAAATAGCCTGGAGTCACCGTATTTGAACTTCCGTAGCTACAAGAGGATTTTTATTTCTCTTTGGATTTGAATCTGAGACATTCTGGTACTTTTGATCTTTGGAGTCAAACTCAAACCAATCAAGCACCACTCTTGTGGTTAATTTTATAAACCATCATACTTTGATTTTTGTTTTATAAATTAAAGTAAAAACACACAAAAGTATAGTCTACAAGATTTATGGAATTAAATTGTGAAAAAGTTTGAGTTTGGAAACAATCATGGTCAATGGCTATTGGTCCGAGCCTGTTAAGGTTTAAGCCTTACAAATGACGAACGTGTGCGAGTATTTGTTATATGTAAATGCCATATGTTTAAATAGGAAAAAAGGATGAATTAATTCAGCAACAATGTTAAGGGTTAATTGTCAAGCGCTACGGATATCAGTTACCTTATTGAATAGGGCAAATTGCATGAAAAAGTAACATACTTTAACTTGATTCCTATTTTAGGTAACGTACTTTCAAAACTTCCATTTTGGTACCTAAGATGTAAAGTTTTAAACATTTAAGTACCCGGGTAACTGATTGAAGTATTAACCGATTATCATGCTGATGTGGCGAGTGATGTGGTATCCAACTCGGTATTATTTGCTGACGTGGTCAGTGATGTGGATTTTTTTAAATCTAAAATTAGTCTTTTTTTAGTCTAAAATTAGTCTTCACTGGGTTACCCGAGTACTTAAATGTTTAAAACTTTACATCTTAGGTACTAAAATGAAAGTTTTGAAAGTACGTTATCCAAAATAGGAATCAAGTTAAAGTACGTTACTTTTTCATGCAATTTGCCCTATTGAATAAGTATGATAATGATTGAGAATCTTATTAAAGGAATAGTAAGGATTGTAAATCTTCACTAATAAGTGAAGAAGAAAACTCGTATATGTCATTAATGTTTATCGAGTAAAAAACGTTTTTTAATAATCATTATAATGACCAAAAATATTAACACATAGGATAAGTAAGAATTTGTTTGTTAGCAGTTTAATAAGCTTTTTGGGACCTACAACTTATACGGCCAGTATACATATTATTTTGTAGTGACTTCATAATATAGAATATGTCTTGTTCAGTTGGTTTATACGGGAGGTTTTATGTAAAAAGCCAACTTTTTTTTTTAATTTGTCATTCTTAATAGAAAAAATACACTCCTTTATTTTATTAAAAAACTCTTACAAATAACACCTTCTTAATTCATACAGTTAACATAATTCAGACAGATACATTTGTCTATATCTATACAGACATGAACGAAATAAAAGATAGTGTCCTACCAACAATCATTAAAGTAAGAGAAGTCACCGTCTGGCCGACACGGACGCCACCAACAGCATTAATCTGAAAACAACACTACAACCTCCCTCCGTTTTTAGCCGGAGGTTACCTCTCCACATATTTCCGTCAAGATTCACACTCTTCCCATTTCATCGCTACATCAAAATGCTTTGAAGCTTAATGGTTTCCAGATCTCTTTCCGTACGTACATTTTCTCCCACTTCATTTTTCCTTCTTATCGCGCATCAATCCTCATCTTCTTCCCTCTAAATTTCTAACCTAATTACTGCACATTCCTTTCTTTCTGATGATCAATTCATGATCTACGTCTGACATATTTTCTCGTTTCACTTGTCACATTCACATCCACTATAATCGGCACTGAATTGAAGTGTACTTTCTTAGCCTAATTTCCAAAATAATTCCATATTCAGTAATTTGAAAGGTCGTTTGGTTTTTACGCTTTGAATGTATGGATACTAAGAAAGATTTCTCCTAAATTCCCACAATTTTTTGGGGAAGAACGAATCCTCTGTTGATTCTTGCTTGAATTCATTGTGGGGTTGTACCTTACAGTTTACGACCCTCAGTATAATCCTTATTATGTTATTAATTTAGGGTTTTCATAGACTTTTGATCATCAGAAAGTTTCTCTAGATTCCCTAATTTGATTTGGTTGGATATGTGTTTATCTGTTATGATGATTCAGTAGGACTTTTGACTAAATCAAGCACAAAGGAGAATATAGGTGTAATGGCTTCAGAAAAGGATATATTCGAGCTCTCAGGGCCCTTACACTTGACTACTGTTGACTGGTAAGATTTCCCTTTTCCAGTATTCTTGTAGACATTTCATCAAACACATTGGACACGTTATGCTTTTCGGGAATCATTTGCTTACATCTAGTTTTTGTTCACAAGTATTGGAACAAAAGTTGGTTTTGGTTTTGTTACGACCATATTTCCAATTATTCCCCCTTGTATCTTTCCGATTAATATGTTCTTTTAGGTCATTTTACATCATCATTTAAGTTATGAGTTAGTTTTTACCAATCATGACTAGTATAAGAGCTAATAGGTTGTTTATTAGCCAACGACTAGTTTTTCCAAGTAGCTAATAGATAGTTTTTCTGTTAACAACTAGTTTATAAGTCAACAACCAGTTTTTCAGCTAACAACTAGCTTACAAGCCAACAACCAGTTATTCAGCTAAGTAGCTAACATGTAGTTTTTCGGCTAAGTAGCTAACATATAGGTGGAGTTTGTTTTCTAAGAGGTGCTGAAGTATGGAGTCCTATTTCACTTCTGATTTATAAGAGGTGGTGCTGAAATCTGAATCAATAAGATTGATTGTTTTGGTTAACTGACAAATGTCTAAAGTCTGAAATATGAATCAATAAGACTGTTTGTTTTTGTAAACTGACAAACGTCTGCATTCTGAAATCTGAATCAATAGTTTGTTTTTGTTTTTTTCAAGCCTCAACTAATCCTATGGGGCTCTGAGATTAACAATCATGCACACCCTCCAATAGCTCCAAGAGGACTTGACCTGATGACGTGCATAAAACAAACTATCAAGGTCTTAGCGGTTAAGCTACTCTTGATAGGTTTTGATGAAACCATTCTAGCCATTAAAATAAACATTTCCCATAAACAATAATCAAAAGAACAAATCGAAGCAATGAACCACAAAAATGCTACCATGATTTTAGCATCTAAAATACCAAATTCTGAATCTCAAACAAGACAATTTCAGTAAGAAATTTACACCTCAAAAACTTCCTCTTCACTAGTTGTTGACCATACTATTACTTTGAGCTAAAAAGACCCGAAAAGACAAAAACCTATACTGGCTATTCATGTAACTGAAGAAGTAAAAATAACATCTATTCCCATTGCTAATGTTTCTGAAAAGCATAAGAAGTCCAATGGAAGTAACTTATCAAACCTTCGTCACTAGGGGCTCCAATTTGGATACATCGGTCCTGTACTCAGCAAGAAACCTGAAATGCAAAGAAAGACTCAAAATGTGAAAATCTTGAAATGAGATTGAGAGACGGGCAGAAAAGATATGGAGTCACCTTGCTTGATCATGACTGTAGACGGGTTCGTGGGGCAAAGATGTTTTGTCCTGGGGGCGATACAGATCTTAGTGAAATCAAAACTTGACAGGATCGATGGTATTTAAGATTTAAAGACAGTATGATGCAACGAACCTCAAGGTATTTAAATGTAGTAGCATAACCTGGAACAACGCCATTTTACGCTTTGCAGCCTCAAAACTTTCGCCTGTTTCCCTTTCATCATAGTCCAGATCCTCTTCTAAAACTTAACATGATATATAAACATATATATGATCTAAACATGTATAACAAATATCAAACAAGAAATCAATTGGTTACCTAAAGAATGGGAGGATCCACACTGAGAAGATATAACAGAAACTTCTTGAAATCTTGAAACACAGATGATCTGGGAAAATTATACAGAAGATTTGGGGAAATCAGAAACAAACAAGTATGAAAAAACAAACAAGGCACCATAGACACTAGGTCTGTGGGTAAGAACAGATGGTTTGATTTGGGGAAATTAGAAACAAACATGTATCTTTAACACAATTTTTACATCTTTTTGCTTGATTGCAAATCTCTACTGTTATGTCTGTTTGTTACTCTGTGTGTGTGTGAGAGAGAGAGAGAGAGAGCAACCCAAATAGATTGATGTTACACTCATTTCAAGAACTACTACTAAAAGCTATAAGCAAAAAACACAATATGCTTCCTAATTAACTACACCTATTCAATTCAATTCCGATATTCATCTTTTCCCCCAAAACTAACTCACTCACATATCCATTCAATCAACGCTTTCTGCTTAATTATGAATGTTCTAAAAGGGTTTCTTGATACATCAACATAATAATAAAGTAGATAAAAAATTTACTCTTGAATTGCAATGAGATCAGTGTTGTCTTTGGTTATTACTATGCAAAAAGGAAATTTGCCCACTACCATCAAACTTCAAGCTTGCTAATATTGTCACAACCAACACAAAGATATCATCATTAACTAGAAATCGTAGGGTTTAGATTTTGTGGGTTTAAACAGTAGACAAAAAACAAAGACACAGCAGGATATGAGCAGAAGAAACCTATGTAGAAAAACAAGTGACTTCATCAAGAATTCAAGATCTGGAAGGAGAGGAAGAAGAAAGAACAGAGGGAGACGATTTGGGTTAATGGCAAATATCTTCAGAAAACCACAGGACGAAATCAAAACATAAATAAAAAGGCAAAGATCTCTTTGTGTTTAACAGATTGTACCATGTATATATGAACGACTTGGGTTTAAAAATCGGGAGATTGACATACCTTTTGGAGCTCGACATGCAGAGATCGAAAGCTTGAGAGATCGATGGGGTTTAGGTTATCAGCCTGAGAGGTGAGATCAAGATCGACATGGTATGCGAATAAGAGCCGGTTAAGTGTTTAGGGTGTCACTTAAAACTAGAGGATAGTAAGAGTTTTTCAGCTCTTATTTTGGAAACAAATCAAACAGTCTGAAAAGCAAAAAGTCTGACCGAACCAAACTTAAGAGGGTATTAAGTGGAGTTTTTCAAAAAACAAAAAGGCCCATTGTTTTTTGGTCAACAACTAGTTTATAAGCCGACAACTGGTTTTTCAGCTAAGTAGCTGATAGATAGTTTTTCGGCCAACAACTAGCTTATCTACTAGTTTTCTAAGCATAGCCTAAATGAGGCTCTATGACCAATGTTCCCAAGTGCTTATAGCATGTATATGTTATTATTCAGGACTGATGTGGATCACCGAAGGATGATTGCTGCATCCATGGTTCAAGGTGTATATATCATGCAGCGTGACCGCCAAGAAAACCGTCAAGTGTCCGAAGCTCTTGCTCCTCCTTGGTGGAACTTCTTCGATTTTGAGTTGCACACTAAACTCATAGATGATGCCGATTCGTCCATCTTTGGTGCCATCTATCAATTCAAACCCAAAGCGTTACCGAACAACACCCTCTCCACACACTCAACCCCGTCTCATATCATTGCTTTCCGGGGCACTGTAACCAAAGGCGATGCATTCTCTAGAGACTTGCAATTAGATCTCCATTTTGTCAAAAACATATTGCATCAATCATCAAGATTTGAGATCGCCATGCAAGCTGTGAGAAACTTGGTTGCTTCTGGATCGCCAAATATCTGGTTAACCGGCCATTCCCTTGGATCGGCCATGGCCATGCTTGTGGGGAAGAACATGGTGAAAAATGGGGTTTTTCTTGAATCTCATCTTTTCAATCCACCATTCGTTTCGCCCCCAATGGAGAACATCAAGAACAGGAAAGTGAAACATGGGATCAGAATCGCTAGCAGTTTCGTGACAGCAGGACTTGCTGTTGCAATGAAGGTTAAAAAGAATCATGAGCAAAGAAAGAGCGGTTTTCTTGATTTGGCGGGATGGGTGCCGTGTTTATATGTTAATCCAGGCGATCATATCTGCTCAGAATACATCGGGTATTTTGGACATCGGAGAAAGATGGAGAAGATAGGGGCAGGAGAAGTGGAACGGTTGGCGACACAGCATTCGATTACGGGCCTGTTCATGGATGCAATCGGGATGGAATCACATGAACCACTTCATCTTCTTCCCTCCGCAAATTTGACGGTAAATTTGAATCGTGCTCGTGATTTGAAGGAAGCTCATGGCATTCATCAATGGTGGAGATATGATCAGCAGCTGGAATCCAGAACCTACAGGTCATAAGCATATGATTGTAAATGAACCGAACGTTTAATAAACTGTTCGACAGGAAGCTTGTTTATTTGAGAAATGAAACCTGAACAAGATTTTTTTGTTTGTTTGTTTGTTTGTTTGGTATGGGATGATGAGGTAGTAGGGAGTAAGAATTGTTTAAAGTTTTAGGGTTTTAATATCTTTTTGATAAGAGTAATTTAGTAATGTATTATTATTTCTTTTAAGCTTATTTTGGTGCATTTTTGTATCCCTCAATCTGGTCTTGTCTTGGGGGTTGTTTACTTGCGGCTTAATTAGGTTTATTGGTCTATCTGGCTTATTCGCACAGCTCATTTGGGTTGTTTACTTACGGCTTATTCGCACAGCTCATTTGGGTTGTTTACTTACGGCTTATTCGTACAGAATATGACTTAATCGCACAGATAGAAATGGTGTGTTGTCTCCATTCAGCCACAAAAATGACACCCCTACCCCTTATTTAAAGCACCCCATCTTCGACTTCTTTATGATTTTTTGTTTTGATATTCAAATAATTAATATTGGGAGGTAAATCGGTTATTTATGTTATTCAGGCTGTTGGTTCAGATAAAAAAAAGTAAACAACAACACTCATTTATCTAGACAGATAAATTTATCCATACAGGACATAATAAAAAATTTAGTAAACAGTTATAAGTTTTGTTCCTAAGGTTTGCAATTTATTATTATTTCATCTCTGAATTAATTCCTACATTTAAGTATAAAGGACCAAAATAGTAAATAAATTGTAAACCATAATAATAATAAATTGTAAATCATAATGACAAAAATAACCATTAATTACAAATCATATGAACGAGAACAATAAGTTTTAAACCACAAGGACAAAAATTGCAATTATTAACAAACCATATGAAAAAAAACTTAGAAGATAAATATATCATAAAATTTAAAGTAAACTGTGATTTTGGTTATTGTGGGTTTTAAAATTAAGACCTTAGTTCATATGTTTTTGAAATTATCGATTTCATCTTTATGGTTTATAATTCAATATTATTTTCGTTCTTGATTCTAACTTTGTAAATGGTTTAGAACAAAAATAATAATGAATTGTAGACCATAATTATAAAATCTTTAATTTTAAAAACAAATGAAAGAAAATCAAAATTCAATAAACTATGAGGACTAAAAACGTAATTTACTCAGTAAATTATGATTTTCCTTCTTGTGATTTATTAATTATTTTCACTTTCTTCTCTATGGTTTAGAAATTATGATTTTTGTCCATATAATTTATAATTTATTGTTATTTTTATATTTATAATTTGTAATTCATTACTATTTTCTTTGCTATGATTTATAATTTATGTTGTATTGGTTTCTATGATTTATAGTTCTTTATTGTTTTGGTCATTTATACTTAAATGTTAGAATTAGTTCAAAGGAAAAAATAGCAATAAATTACAAACTATAATAACGAAAATCATAATTTTTAAACCAAAATCATTAACGAACCAAACAAACCACAAGGACCAAAATCGTAATTTACTCTAAAATTAGATATGCGAGCATATCAAAATACGACGTTCCTATTGGCTTATCCCATATCACCTTATCCCACTCTCAACTCCACATAATCTCCTTTCCCCTCGACGCAAATCACACCATCTTCATCCATCTCCAATGGCTGCCATGGCTACCCAAGCTTCTCCTTTCACCCCAACCCTCTCAAACTCTGTTTCTCCATGGAAACAATCCTCCTTCACCGCCATCAAGCACCTCAAACTCACCACCCGTACCTTCACAATCAAAGCCGCCGCCAGCCAGGATGCTCCCGCTCCCGCTCCCGCTCCCGCTCCCACTCCCACTCCCACTCCCACTAAAGAAGCTCCAGTCGGATTCACCCCACCGGAACTCGATCCCAACACCCCATCTCCAATCTTCGCYGGAAGCACCGGCGGSYTGCTCMGAAAAGCWCARGTGGAGGARTTCTACGTSATCACATGGGAATCMCCMAARGARCARATCTTYGARATGCCSACCGGCGGYGCTGCSATCATGAGRGAAGGACCAAATCTGTTGAAATTGGCTCGAAAGGAGCAGTGTTTGGCTTTGGGGACGAGATTGAGGTCGAAATACAAGATTAAGTATCAGTTTTACAGGGTGTTTCCGAATGGTGAAGTTCAGTATTTGCATCCTAAAGATGGTGTTTACCCGGAAAAAGTGAACGCCGGCCGGCAAGGTGTGGGTCAAAACATGAGGTCAATTGGGAAGAATGTTAGCCCAATTGAAGTCAAGTTCACAGGCAAGCAACCTTATGACATATGATCCATTTTGTGATTTTATGTCGTTTTCATTTCGTAATTAAAAAACAATATGCTTTTTTAATTTCATGTTTTGTGTATTTTTGTTTTAACCTAAAACTGTTGTGCAAATCTTTGGTGTTAATATATTTTCAACCGCCTTATTAAATTAATTAAATATTTTAATAATATAATTAATGGTAGAATTGCTAAAATAGAGAGGCTCTTGAAGTTATATATAATTTTTTTTTATAGATTTTAACTTTTGATACTTTACTTTGGAAACAATTATAACATAATTATTGGATATGCTTTAACGGGGTGAGTTGATCGGATTGCATTTGAACAACCCAACCAAATGTTTGTAGTTTGAAAATTTTCAACTCAATTCAATCCAAAGTGTAACTTAACCCAACCCAAACCATATAAGTCGGATTGATACTCTGGTACATTGAAATATTCTCCGACCTTTAAATATGTTGTTTTCTCTACTTTTCTTGATTTACATATATATGTTCACATTATTGAACATATATACGAATAAGTTGTATAAAGATAAAGAAAATATTGAAAATATATGTATATGAGAGAGTATGTGATGGTGTAATTATCAAATCTACATAGAGACAATAATCATATTAAATACAAAAAATAAAAGAATAATGGGTTAATCGAGTTGAGTTAAGTTCAAATGATTGTAATTCAATTCCAACCCGATACTTACAGTTTAAAGATTTTACAGCTCAATTAAATATCGAATTGCTTCAGGTTAAACTAACAGTTAACAGGGTTTTTATTTTTTAAGCACCCCGGTCATGTCAAGTAACCTTTATGAGGTTATTTTATGTTTTCAGCCAAAAAAGATTCATGAAATAATACACTAGAAACACATTTTAGAAAATAAACAGTAACGAACAGTTTCCAGATCTTGAACTATTGGCCGTATGTTATACTCCATAAAACGCAAAAATGAAGTCTTTAAAGCATGTTAAAACGAAAAACGGAACGTAGAAGGTCGACTTCCTTCCTTCTTACGAAACTACTTCTAGATCTCGGACTTGAGTATCCAACACAAAGTTCGGAAACGCTTGAGTGATCTCCCTGTCGTATAACAAAAAAATAAATTCCAAGATAAATCACAACTATATATATATATATACATATACATATGTAAACGTATATGTATAGAGGGAGGTGGTTTCATTTACAAACTAATACCAACCGTTCATCTAATCTAATGAATATTTAATTCAAGGAATATCTTGATTGATTTCTAATATAGAGCGTTCGTTCATTACAAATTAACTTTGATAATCTTCTATAAATATTCAAATCATAATAAATAAACTCTAATCATTGCTATAAATATCTCAATTAATTGGTTTGTATGTAATCTACAAACTCTACCATTAGCACAAATCATACAAACCAATTAATTGAGATATTTATGGAAATTATTAGGTTTCATTTATAAATATTTGGATATTTATGGAAGATTATTAAAGTTCATTTATTATGATCAACGTTTTATATTAGAAAACAACCGAGATATTCATTGAACCAGATATTCATTAGACTAGATGGACGGTTGAGATTGATTTGCAAAATTTGTAGTAATATGACGGTTTGTAAATGATCCAGGCTCCATATATATGTATGTAGACGATTCTTTCCAAACTATATACGTTAAGACTCGTAAAATAAAAATGTTACAAGATTAAAACAACAAAATGGAAAATAATACTTGCCTAAGAAGGGGAAGAGTCATGTTCTTGAGAATGGATGGATTCTTTGAGATGAATGCCTTCCACTCTTCTAAATCAATCCTCCCATCCCCTTTCAGATCTGCATCCAAAATGGTCTGACCAAGGAAAAACTCAAAATATAAAACTAACCCAAATCAAACCGAACGAACCCGGTATATCCAGAGTCTGTAGTGAGATGAGATGTATGCAAACATGACCTCTACCTCAAAGGATAGAAAGATTGTTTATATGAATACAGTGTCAAAATAGAAGACTAAATGCTGATTATAAATAAACCCATGATGAATCTTAGGGTCTGTTTGTTAGTAGCTTAATTGGGACTCACAGCTTATTTAGTCATCTATACATGACCGTTTGATAGTGGCTTAATGATGTAAAAAGTGGCCTATACAGTAAGCTTCCAAGGGAAAGCTTTATGCAGAAAGTCAAGTTTTTTTTCCAAACTAGACCCTGACGCTCCTTCCATCTATTAAACAGCCTCCCAAACAAAAACTTTTCCAATCTATACAGACAGATTAATCCACATAGACAGTTTTATCTATACAAGACTTAATGGAAACCGAACAAACAACCACTTAGTTGATTACCTTATCCAAGATAGTTTCCACTGCATCATCTGATAAACTCACAGTCATTTCACTCAATACAGCCAAAACCATATCCTTCAACTTCAAAAATTTCAAGTATTTGCAAGATCAGAGGTCAATAAATGTCAAACTTTGACTAAAATGTCGAAACTTTTTGGTATGTTTTGATTTACCTCTTCTCGTTCTATGTAGCCGGTGCACCTCAAATCATATAATCTGAACATGACTGTAACGATATTATGAAATGTTAATAGTAATTAATGGAAAACAATTCATGAGTTTCAAGACTTTTTTGACTTTTGAGAGTCAAACAGATTCATTTTTGGTAAAATTGATTCGGTTATAGATCGATCATCAGCTTATGTTTGATGGATCTTACATTCAATTTTGTCCGATTCGGGAGCATCAGGATGAAAGACACTTAGCGAACGAACAAATTCTTCAAATTCAATTACCCCATTTTTCTTGATGTCAAATAAGTCAAAGAGCTGCAGTAATGCATACCAAGAAAGAAATCAGAACTCTTGGATGGATTTCTGGGATGACCTTAAGAAGATTCATCAGAGTTTTTTTTATCGGATAAAATCGACATTTTTTTAAGATCCCACATCGGTTGGGGAGGGGAACATAGGTTTCTTCTAAGGGACCGGATACCTCTTCTACCAGCGCATTTTAAAGCCGAGTCTAGGTGTAGACAGAGCTGACAATTTTTGGTACGGTTAGTCTGGGATGTTACAGATGGTATCAGAGCCGGGAACCAGACTAATGAGCTAGAGAGGACACTGGGCTCCCACAACGGTCGGGGAGGGCTCTACCATACACGTTTTAAAACCGTGAGTCTAGGTATGAACAATGCAGACAGTATTGGTACAGTTAGCCTGAGATGTTGCAAATTTTGGGAGAAAAAACACATTTTAAATAAGAAAAATCGAGAATGTCTACTCACTCTATCTGCAAACAAGTTCTGCATACTGCTGTTGCTGAAAAGTGCAAGCCGAAACTCTTCCTGTTCATGAAATGGCATAAATACTTATCCAAAAATCTTTTCAACACTTCGTTTCTAAGGGGGTTGTGTGGTACGTGTGACAAGATGAGACAGGACAGAACAAAAACTTGTTGTCCCATGTTTTGCAGCATTTTAGATTGGGACAGGACATGGCTGAGTTCCCACCAAAATAGATGGACAAGATAGGTAAATTACTAAACTACCCATGTCAAATTAAAGGTTTTCACAATTCTTCACCTGCCTACCTCACACTGTTTAATCTTGTCCTGTCCACGTACCAAACGCATCATTAGGATAGTTACTATGTTATCTTCAAGGGTACCTTGTGAATAAGACCATCTTCAACGATGGCATGGCTTAATCCCTCGAAAAGATCGTACAACGCCTCTATTTCGTTCACGGAAACTGTGAGGACAAAGTAGACGGTGATCAGATTATTTCATCCGAAAATCTTGGGTCAAATATGTAGTTTTGCTACTAACATGATGTCTCGTTAGCAAGACGAGCATGGTGGATAAATTTACGAGGGTTACGAACTTTCTTCAAGAAACAGCAACATTCTTTTATTGACATGTCAAGTATGCAAACCTGTAAACTCAATAGAACAAGAACAAAATGCATCTAAATTCCATACACATTTGAGCATCATAATCAGATTCATTTGTTTCATTTATATTCTAACAAAACTGTTAGATCCCCACATCAGCTAGACTTGGACCAATTCTCTTCTAATATGTTGGAGAAAGGAGAGCATCATTTCTCTCCTCAAGGGATCTTCCGGAGAGTAATCTAATGAGATTCTGCATATTCTCATATGGTATCAGAGCCAATGTCTACTATTCTAGGACTCGACACTTTGTGGCGATCCATACTCGCCTAGCCCCCTCTCAACACTCGGATAATAAGTGCCCCTTTAGCCTTCGTTGGAGGGGGCGTGTTAGAGTCCCACTTCAGCTAGACTTGGACTAGTTCTCTTCTGTATATTTTGGAACATCCCTCCTCTCCTAAGGGCTCTCTTGGACAGTAATCTAATGAAGTTACATATATATTCTCACAAAAACACAGAATTTAATTTTTTTTATTGAAGAAACTACTTCTTTTCAGGTCAAACTTGATCAGTCTCATTGGGGTTTCAGTGTTCTTGGTTGTTTGTTTATGAGTCTGAGCTGATTACAAACAGACCCCCTAAAATAGAACAGGAACTACAAAAAGAAATGGAGAAATCGTTCAATTTTACCAATTTTTTTAGCAAATAGCAAGTACCCAAAATAAAACCAATTCAAACCTGCAACAATTTATGAACTGGAAGCAAATTATCACAATAAACCACCATAATCAGACAACGATATAATCATGATTCCGCCATCAAAGCTCTGAAAAAACTCTGATTGAAGCTACATACATGAAGATTACAAGCTACAAAAGAAGATGAAAATGAGGAAACATACCTGTGATTGAAGCTACGAGGAAAAACAAGATGAATGGGAAATTATTTGACCTAATTTGGATCTGATTTGTTGCTCATGGATGATGATATCAGATCAAGGGCATGCTCTCTGAATCTCTCACCCCCATTGTTTATTAATACTTAAAAGGATCGATGTAGGTTTCCACCTTGCTTTTTGGAGCTTGTTTCTAGTATTCAATTTAAAAACTAACGACTGTTTTTTTAGTTTCGCTCAACTATTTCATAAAAATAATATTATTATTTTCCTTATTTAAAAATAAATTTTGTGAGATCCATTTATTCATTTTAATTAATTTAATATAATTAAGGTTATTAGTTAATGAGACGTTTAGGGTAAAGATGTTCATGAGTTAGGTTGATGGTTGAAGACATTTGAACAACTCAATCTAATGCTTGCAGTTTGAAAAATTTTAATCCAACTCAACCCAATCTAATCCAAACCGTATAGGTTCGTCGGATTGATATTTTGTCATATTAATACAAAAATGAACGATATACATATATTTGTTAGGTTTTTTTTTATTTTAATTGTTTATTCATTACATCAGAAAAAGTAGAAGGTTTTTAGTAGTCAACCCATGTGTTTGCAAGTATTGGAATATTCTCTATTTTTTGTAATTATTCTGTTTAAAAAGTATGTATGTTATAATAGATAATATATGATGTCGTTTTAATGAAATTTATAAAATATAATATTGTCTCAGACCATAAGATTACGGTAAGATTCTAATGTTGTATTCTAATATTTTTTTTTTTAGTACAATTAAACAGTTCCTTTTTATAAAAAGAAATTACGTTCAAATAATGACGATGTTTATAATAATGGATAGCAATCCGACCATGAATATATAACAAGGTCACTTTTTGGAGAGTGAGATACAAGACATATTCAGGGCCCAAAAAAATATTAGGAGCCAAATATTTTCTCCTGTATATGGTAGTAGTCCGTAAAACTAATACATTAAATAAAAATCTTTTTGTGGCCACGAAAGTTCAAATACAATGACTAGAGATAGCCAAAAACCGGTCCCGGGTCGGGCCGGGCCCAATCGGTCCTAACCTTTCTCATAACCGGTCATAACCGGTCCCGACGTAACCGGTCCCGGTCGAAAATGATAGGACCTGTCAAGGTACTTCATAACCGATTATGGGCCGCCAGTCCCGGTCCATAATTTTATAATGTATTAAAAATATATATCATTAAAATAAATTAAAAAATCTTATTTTTTAATGTTGGGACCGGGACCAGCGACCCATAACCGGTTATGAAGTACCTTGACCGGTCCTACCATTTTCGACCGGGACCGGTTATGGCCGGTTATGAGAAAGTTTGGGATCGATTAGGCTTGGCATGGGACCGATTTTTGGCCATCACTAATGTCAAACAATTAATCATTAAGTTGTTTTCTAAGAAGCCTCGACATTACGCCTTGACGTGAACAGTACTTTTGGTCAGTTCAGAAAAAATAAATGTTCTCTCTTAATTTTCATTTAGTTAACAAGGTTTGGTGTTTTATTTGTATCCATAAATGCAATGTTTTTTTTTCTTTTAAAGTATATAATATTTGCAGATGACAAAACAAACTTATATATAATTCTCAAATTTGGTGAAATTTAAACTTCTGATCTCTTTACTGCTTATGCAGAAGTCAATTTTGATAAACAGGTTCGGACCTATGTATATCAGAGTGGGCTCATGTGCATCTGATCACCTTATTTTTGCAAGTAAGATTTTTTTTTAGGGATGAAAGGTACACCTGCTAAACTTTAAGAGGTATTTTAAGATATTAGAAAATATAAGAAATATCAACTAAAAAAAAGTCGAAATCAACAAAAAAAACTTCAAAAAATCCATCAAAATGATGGAATTCAATTAAAAATACATCGGACGACTTTACGAGTCTTTGATACCTTTAAAATACAACCGTTTGATAAAAATTATGGATGCACGACTCTTAATAGATAACTTTTTCTATAATTTTTCAAGATCCATTTGTTTGACTTTAGTTAATGACATTATTGGTGGTGGTTTCCTGTTACCTCTACCGTACACCTTGGGCTTTGACATTCGCTCACGATCAAATGAGTTTGAGTGTTTTTTTTATTGAAAATTTAAATTAAATAAATAAATTATTGAATTACTAGAAAGGTGATCGCACAATGCAGTAAAATATATATCGATTTTAATATTTTATTTTATTTTTTGTCTCTATCGATATTATAATACAGTTTTATGTGTTTTTAAGAAAACAATAATAATTTTATTTTTGAATAAAATATAAATTTGAAAAAAATATATATCAATGCTAATATCAAATCAACTATTTAAAAGTTCTCATTTTTGTATGTAATTTCTTTAATTTATTTTTTAATTATAAATAACAATGGAATAGTTTATTCTTGGTTTAATAATATATCATTTTATAAAGATAATAATTAAGTATTCTGTTAGAACTCAATGATTATCCTAATTATATTTTAAAATGAGATGATTATCATCTATTTAACTATGTTTATCCGCAGTTAGTTATACGAATTCAAACATGGAGCTTTAATAAGTTGTACTTACGCACAATTTACTTGTAATCTTGAATTTTTAGTAATATGCATTAATAAACAATACTTTATGCATAAAAAATGTTTGTAAGAGTTTTTGTCAAATGCTTTATAATATAACTAGTTGTGTACCCGCGCAATGCGGCGGGAGCCATGAATTTTAACGATTTTGAAGTTTCACTGGTTTTATAAGACAAGATTTAACGATGATATAGGTTACACTTGATCTTTACATATTAATACAATTTGAATAAATAAGAGTTATGGTTCTAATTACAGACTATCGATAAAAAAAATTGTAT